GAAGAATGGATAAATCGATCTGTTCAGAAACTAGAATGGGGTATATATAGTAAGCAACACTACAGGTTTATGAAGTCTTTATATTTATTTCAATACCTTCATTCGAAGAAGTAGGAGGTTGAGGCTGAGTATAGACTGACTGAAATCGGTAGTTGATTGAAGTTAGAAATGTGAATAATTCCCAACTTATGATCCTTAAATGATAAACAGATTGCTAGACCTTAGGACCCTAGGTCCTATCTTAAGGAAAACATAGACTGACACTGCTAAAGGATCCCCAAAATAGTGCATAATATATTCCCTGATATACAATGATTCTCGTATTGATATCAATTCGTAGCCGAAACACACTTTGCAACAAAACTTACTTTAGTGTGGACTTATTTGAAATCGCTATTTATTAATTTATGTAGGCAAATGGTAGTTGATGAAAATATTTAGATTACATAACTTCATTTTTCAATGATGAGAAGGTATTAAGTGTTCAACTTTACCCAAAGAATTGAAAATTCTCTTGATATTGTTTACTTATATCTTCCCATTGTTATTTAGGACTGCGATTAATCAGTCTCTTATTGATATATGTGTATCCTGCGCAGACTGCCTCGATCTACCTTAATTTACAAGCTTTATATGCAAATCAGTAAACAATATCACATGAATTTAAAACTTCAGCCCATTGTACAAGCGAGTGGCTATCAACACTCAGTAGCTAAGTAGATAATACGATGGTGTTTGAAGCGAACGGTATTGGGTTCGAGTCCCAAAGTGGACATCAACTCTAAGATGAAGGTGCATCCAAATGATGACTTTGAATGAGAATAGAACTACATACTATATTATCAAAGCCTAAAAAATGAACCTCTGTAAACTGATGATTTAATGATTTAAAATTTTCATTTTCGAAATTGGCTTCTAATTACTTCGGTTTCAAGTGCGCATTCCCATCAAGTTTCATACTAGTAAGAAACTTCTATAAAATCCTTCTTAGTCCCTTTCACCATTTCTTCGAGTGAATTCAAATGATGACACTAATTGACAATAGATTTCAAACCTGAGAACAGAAATGACAAAACAAAGTTTAAATACACATACATAAATGAAGACGATTTTAAAAAGATCACTCATTTTTGAAATATACAAATTTGGCTAAGGTTTGATGAGTAAAATTGAATCAGTTAGATTTTGATTTGAAACTCCCAACTAGCGGTTAAAAGTTGATTGGTCTTAACCTATAAAGTAGTATAGTACTCCATAGATAGGGTTTTACATTCAACCTGAAAATTACATAGTTCATAAATACACAATAAATTGGTCGCTACTCAATGATCTGTTACTCCTCGTGAAGGAGCATAGGCCGCTCACCAGCATTCTCCATCCAACTCTGTCCTAGGCAATCCTTTCTAGCTCCTTCCAGTTGTTATTCATCCTTTTCATATCTGCTTCTATTATCCGACGTAATGTGTTCTTTGGCCTTCCTATTTTCCGCTTCCCTTCACGATTCCAAGTTAAGGCTTGCATCGTGATGCGGTTTGACGATTTGCGCAATGTATGTCCTATCCATTTCCATCGTCTTTTTCTAATTTCTTCTTCAGCTGGAAGCTGGTTTGTTCTCTCCCAGAGAAGGCTGTTGCTGATGGTATCCGGCCAATGGATGTTGAGTATCTGGCGTAGACAACCATTTATAAATACTTGTACCTTCTTGATGATAGTTGTTGTAGTTCTCCAATTTTCAGCTCCATACAGTAGAACTGACGGTCTTGACGTTCATGTTGAAGATTCTCACCTTGATATTGGTTTGCAGACAGTTGTCTTAAGTTCCATATGTTCTTCAACTGAAGGAATGCGACCCTTGCTTTGCCTATCCTAGCCTTTACGTCTGCATCTGAACCTCCTTGTTCATCGATGATGCTTCCCAGTTATGTGAAGGATTCTACATCTTCCAGAGTCTCGCCATTAAGATTGATTCGACTGCCGTTCTCCGTTTTGAATTTGAGGACCTTGGTTTTCCCCTTGTGTATGCTGAGGCTTACTGATGCAGAGGCTGCTGCTACACTAGTTGTTTTCATCTGCATTTGTTTGTGTGTATGCGATAGGAGGTCTAGGATTATCTGTGAAGTCCAAATCTTCTAATGGATTCTGAGCTGTCCATTGTATGCTATGTTTTCCATCAGATATCGAGGTCTTCATAATCGAGTCGACCAGCAGAAGAAAGAGGAAGGGAGAGAGTAGACAGCCTTGTCTGATTCCGGTCCTTACTTGGAATGCATCTATCAGCTGTCCTCCATGCACGACTTTGCACTATAGTCCGTCGTATGAGTTCCGGATAATATTAACAATCTTCTGAGGAACTCCGTAGTGTCGAAGAAGTTTTCATAACGTTCTCCTATCTACACTGTCAAATGCCTTCTCATAATCAATGAAGTTGATGTACAGTGACGAGTTCCACTCAACTGATAGTTCGACGATGATCCGTAGTGTCGACTCAATGATCAATCAATTGTAAATATTTCAGTCTTACAACAGATCAGTTACTATCAGAATAGTTCAATGATAACTTTTGTAGAGTTGTATAACCTTATTTTGAATTCCATAAGAAACGTCTCTCTCCCTTCAAGTTCCAAATACACCTTATTAATAAGTATTAACAATCAAACAATCTATGTTAAGCAGTCTTAATTTGAAAATATCATTCTATATGAATGCATTCTTCATTACTTTTTTTTCTTTAGCTTCCTCAACATTCTGATTTATGGTCTTGTTTTGTTGATATGGATACACGTCGTATGGATAATTGGGATAAATTGCTTAATACATTTATATATAATAAACAAATACCATTTTTTGATATGATTGTCCCAACTATAGATACAGTCAGATATGGATACATGTTAGATAAATTATTAGCTGTAAATCAAAGTGTACTATTTACTGGTTTAACTGGAGTTGGAAAAGTATGATTATTACTATCATTGTTATCATCATTATTAATATTGTATTATTATTATTTTTATTATTATTATTGGTAATAACGTGTTTACACTACTTATATGGACAAACATAAGTAGTATATGGTATAAACCGAAATTAGTATGCTTACCAGTAGACGAGTGAAATAAAGAGAATGGGAAAAAAAAGAAGAGCAGTCGGGATCACTAGAGGGTCGAAAGAATGATGAATTATGTAAAGGACAACTGAAAAATAATGTATTTAGTGAATAACTTTTATATTTTACAAAGCTACTGTTTGATTTTGTATACAACAACAGATTGTTTTCCCTAACTGAGTTTTCAATCACTGTAGTAATAATAATAATGGTATCACTTGTTATCACCTTTTTCTAAATTACTGGCAATTGATGAAATGCAGATTCTTTTGATAGCACTGAGTTACAATGCCAGAATGTTTGAGATCCACTTCTCCCCCTCTATATACAAGTTGTTGCTTCAGGACTGGCCTGCATCAACACCTGAACTAAGGATAGGGAGTGAAGTAGTCGAACGTGTAGATAACTTCACATATCTTGGAAGTCTGGTCAGCGCAAATTGGTTGGTATGTGACGAAATGTGAGTACGGATTCACAAAGCTCGTTTGGCTTTTGCCAGTTTACGTCACCTATGACGAAGGCGAGATATCCATCTATCAATTAAGGAACGAGTATATTGCGCACTAGTTCGTTCCGTTTTTATTTACAGTTGTGAAGCGTGGTCATTAAGAGTATAAGATACTCATAAGTTACTAGTATTTGACCACAGATGCCTTAGAAATATTGCTCGCATCTGCTGGGATCACCGGATAAGTAATAGTGAGATTGAACGTAGGGTATTAGGGAATGATGGTAAATCAGTTGATGAGGTTGTGAATCTTCATCGACTGAGATGGTTGGGCCACGTGTTACGTATGCCTGAACACCGATTACCACGTCGTGCAATCCTGACTAGTGTTGGTGATGGTTGGAAGAAAGTTAGGGTTGGCCATACCAAAACGTGGCATCAGTGCCTGAAGTCACTAAGTGCTAGTCTGATCCATGTTGGTTGATGCAGACTACTTGGTTGGGGGCCACCGTGACTATCGTAACCAATGATTGGAGACTCTGGGTGACATGGCTCAGAATCGATCACGATGACTTCAAACAAATTAATTCTTTCTCCCTGTACTATGTCCTTATATGCAAACCTTCTTTTATATACTACCACCATTGAATTAACTACTTCTATGAATCCGGTGTCCATCATGTTGTGTTAATGAAGTATGGTAACTTGAACCGATGCACATATGTGTACCTAGTCCTACATTGCAACTGACTGACTCATAAAGTACTAGACAAATAGATTATTTGGAAATGTATATAACATATTCATTGAAAAAAACAATGAGTATTCTATATAACCTGATAAGTCTGTAAGTTCGATTCCTGATGTTGATATGAATGTATGTTGTTAAGTAATTATTATTATTATTATTATTATTATTATTATTATTATTATTATTATTATTATTATTATTATTATTATTATTATTAATGGAAGCTTTATTCAACATTATATTTTTGGTACAACATAGAATTCTCAGCATAAAGTATTTCAACACGTTTCCATTTCTTATACCTTGATCTATTGTGACGATAAATTTTGAATGATGACCAATTAGATGTTAGGAGTTCGATAATCCACATTTGATTAATGTTCATTCGTTTCAATGCATATTGCCAGCCAATATGATGTCGCTGATTGTACCTTTTTGTATCATGTATAGTGAAAGGTTGTAAACTTTTCATAAACGCGCCTGAATAGGTTATGCGCACAATAGACATAGTGATGTGCTAAAACAAACAACAAAACAGATAACTTGATGAAATATCTAGATCGGAGGAAACAGGTAGCCCAGATATTTAAGCAGGCCGTCAAGTGTTCTATTCATTCTTATATCATAGAAATGATAAATAATCAATATTGAACAATTTCTTTGTTTTCTTATTATTTTTTTTTTATTAATTATAGTCAATTATAATTCGTGGAACATTGAATAATATCGCTGAACGAAATAATTATATACCGGCATATATTAATTTCTCTGCTCAAACAACAAGTAATCGTATTCAAGAAATTATTGAAAGTAAATTAGAAAAGAAAAAAAAATATTTAATTGGTGCACCACAAAATAAACAAATTATATTATTTATTGATGATTTAAATATGCCAAAACAAGATCAATATGGTAGTCAACCACCTATTGAATTATTAAGACAATATCAAGATTTTCATGGTTTCTATGATAGAGATAAATTAGAATGGATTAATATTCAAAATATGATATTATGTTCAGCATGTGGACCACCAGGTGGTGGAAGAAATTCAATCACTTCAAGATTGATAAGACATTTTGCATTATTTGTTATACCTTCACCATCAGAAATAAGTTTAAAACAAATATTTTCTTCAATTATAAATGTAAATAATCAGAATGAGTTTTGTGGAGATTTTTTTTAGAAATTTTCACAGATTGAAATCATGAGTCAGTTGAAGCTAGATCACCATTGAAAACCTGGAAGCAGTGGACGGCCGTTTTGTCCTAGTATGAGACTCCTCAGCAGTGAGTATCCACGATCCCGCACCACACGTGACTCGAACCCAGGACTTACTGGCTTCGCGCGCGAGCACTTAACTACTAGACCACTGTGTTAATGTTTAACTTCAATCAATCCACGAAGTTGCGCCACCATACACCATTGTCTTCAGTGAGTTCCTATCTCACAACCGACCTGGTTGAACTCCACTGGTAACGGCTTCTCACGAAACGGCCGTCCAGTGCTTCCAGGTTTTCAATGGTGGTCTAGCTTCAACTGACTCATGATTTCAATCTGTGAAATGTAAATAATGTTATTTTTAAATAATCACTTTTGACAAGACACTAATTGATAGACGATTCAATTAGAAGTATGTAAGAGATTTCAAGGTTACGGCGTCAATTTCAGTGCTTGTACAAAACGTGATCATTGAACGGCTATAACAAACAAAAAACGCCGAGATTATAATTTGTGGACGAATCAATCAAGTATAAGATAATAGATCTCAGATTTGAGTGCGAAAGCCTTTCATCCATTTGGCGAAATAAATTTCTGGCATTATAGCTGATGTCAGTTCGTGATGAAAACCCTATATATACTTCCTAACTAAGTCAAATTATGACAATTATTGCGAACTTGATAATAAAACACCCGAAACACTGGCTACAACCAGGTACTACAATACATACGAATGATTGGAGGGCGTACTGACTCGTACATAGGCTTGGTTATGTGAATCGTGTCGTTATCCAGAAGTAGCACTTTGTGCACTAAACAATCGGAGTGCACACAAACAATATTGAAGCTACGTGGTCGAGGTTGAAAAAGTTTTTGCGACCTTATCATGGCTCCAGAGACCGACTATTCTGTAGCCGTATGGATGATTTCCTCTACCGTATGCATTACAATTTTAGAATCTCTGAACCTCTTTTTAACCTTGACAAGTTTTTGAACCACAAATAAGAAGTGTATCCATTTTATTTCCTTGGTTTTCTATAACACAGTTTTACTCTATACTGACTGTTTGCCGGCTGGCTAATATTTCTCAAGTTCACTTAAGATTCGTTCAAAGGTCGTCCATCAATTAGAGTCTCGCCATCATTTTTTTTACACAATCACTTTTTATTACAATTTATCAGTCATTTTTTTATTCTGATCATTGTTGAACATTCATTTATATATATTAAAACATATGGTAAGCTATAAGTGAATTCCTATAAGTAAACTCGGACTAACTGTCTTCACTTTCTTCCTTCTGAAATGATAATTAATGATTGGACGGAATTTATGTAGTTATTGCTTGGAAGGTAATTGAATTCAGTTCAGTTATTTGATATTTTGTGGTTGGACTCCCTAGATGGTCAACATTGAGACCAACAAGCTGGATTCCATAAGGATTGATCGTATACTGATCAAATCGCAAAACACTTTGAATCATTGTGGAACAATCAATTGAATGGAATTTATCATTCTACATCAACTTCATTGACTACGAGAAAGCATTTACTAATATGAGATGGTGGAGAAGATTTGTAGCTCAGGTGGATGATTTTGGTGGAGTTTCGTTCTCTGAGCTGGATGGTTTGGTCGTGTTGATGTAATCGAAAACGTTGTTGATCAGTTTGTATGTGTTTTCCAGTTCATTCTTTTTGACGATGACGGTGTCATCTACGTAGCGAATCCAAACTTTGGCTTGATCACTGGTAATATCGTAGCTTCTAGTCTTTGCATCACTGCCTCTGCGATCAGTCCTGATATTGGTGATCCCATTGGTGTCCCTTTTGTTTTTCGTAGATTTTGTTGTTGAATTGAAAGTATGTTGTTAGGCATAAATCGATGAGTTCCAGTAGACTTTGAATTTGAAGCGTCGTGTATTTGGTGAGATTTGTGTCGTTCTATGAACCCGGTGTTCAGCTTGCTGTGTTAATGAGGTATGGCAACTTGACCCGATGTGTATATGTGCCTGGTCCTATGTTGTAGCTAACTGACTGACTGACTGACTGACTGACTGGGGTAGAATTTATTCTCCTCTGACATCTTCAATAACTGGCTTGAATGATTTCATAGCGATTAGTTAACAATTTAAGTGGCTTACTTTCAAAAACAAAAACTAAATTTCATTTATATTAGTTCAAGTAACATGATAGTGACTTAATTTCGTGTATCCATACATAAATTTTCATTGAATTACTTTTGTAATTTTTTTTCTCTTCTCAGGGTTATCTACTTGAATTTCCTCAAGGTGTCCGTAGTGTTGGTGATTCAATTGTTAATGCAGCTGTTGAAATATATTCTAGAATGGCTAAAGAACTATTACCTACCCCAACTAAATCTCATTATGTATTCAATTTAAGAGATTTGTCAAAATGTATTCAAGGTAAGGAAAGGAGTAAATATTCGATTAGATCTGAGGAGAACTATATCTACAAGTTTTTAAAAGCTGCAGCAACAATAATTTGGAAGACTCTTCCGGTCTCTCACACTGTACGAGCATTCCATGTACATAAATAAATGGTTGATCTGGTTATCTAAAGTGACATCAGCCTCATGACTTCCGAAGGAACTCGGCTTTCACTATAAGGCATCATAACTCTTCTAAATGATGACCTTCTAACTCCCAGGGCATAGTTTAGATAGTTTGAATATTTTTCTGGTTGGCGTTTTTTAGCAAGTTAGTTCTCTATGGGATGAGGTCGCTAACCCCATATCCAACCCTCCTTCTTTATCCGAGCTTTAGACCGGCACTAACCCTAGAGGGCTCCAGGCGGGGTTTAAAAGCTGATTCTATCAAAATACAATATCCGAGTCTGTGTTCTTTATACTCAATAACCATAATTTTGAACCTTCTAGTTGTTTGACGCAGAAATTGGTTAAGTGAAAAGACACTAAAAATCTATAAAAGTGTTTTATTAAATGTCTTTAGTGTTTTCTTTCCTGAATAAATAAACACTAACATACTACTCAATAATTATCAGTTAATTTCATAATGAAATAAACATCTTTTCGTACCAATTACTATCACTGTTGCCTATTGAAAGTCTGTAGTGACTGTGCTTCGTTGACCAATCACCCTCGTAACCGTTACCATATAATCGTCAACGCTGTTTGAAATCAGAAGGCAAAGAGAAGCAGCGACTACAGTTTTATTAGCAAATAACTCAGACCACAAAGCAGTGAGGCGAATGAGTGAGTCAGCGAACCGAGAGAGTGTAGAGTGTTAAATGTACATGTATACATATAGGGAAATGAATGGATCATCGAATCAGTTAAGCAGCTAATGATAAAGCTAGTAGAATGAATATATATGCGTAGGAGGTAAGCAATGTTCAAGCATACACATATTTCATACAAGCACAACAATAAGAAAGGTACAATAAGTTGTTATGGTACAGATGACTGTGTCCACCAAATAAGCTAACAGAAGGGCTTGACCGAATTAAATGAGAACAAACTCAATTGCACGTGAGGGTCTATGGGTTTGTCTTTCTAGTATAACAAAAATACATTAAGATAAAATGTTTGAAGCAATGCATCGGTTAACAGAGCTGTACGATCATGTAGAAGAGAAGGGGGTCAATGAGGTTTTCCGTGAAAAATACAGAAAACTAAGATGAAACCATTGTAATACTTTGTGATTTACTGTAACAGATTATTCATTTTTGTATGCTATATTCTAACTGACCAATAAATGTGTCATGATGTTCTCATTAACAACGTTAAAGCGATATGAGGTCACCACCTTACACAACATTTAGTTTAACATACAAACTCTCTACTACAGAGTCTTGTCTTATGTAATCTGTTTGTCATTTGAGATTTGTTAAATCGACTCAATAAGCAAATTATCAGTTCAATTTCCTTGGTCATCATTTGAGTATACTTTATAATCTACTGAACTGTTATAATAATTAGCATTGTGGTGTGTATTACTAATGTCGACAGATATCTGTAGTAAATATCACTAATAGTACGTGGAATGCCTAGCAGCAAAAGGTTAAGAAGATCGAAGAGAAGAGAACGAGAACAGAGAATGATTGGTATGGAAATGAAGGAACAATAAAGTATGAGACCATTGATAGATATTTTGAAAATGACGTATTACCACTATGGTTCTCAGATTTTACTAACAGATTCCATAATTTTGTATTCAAGTGCTTTTTGTTGTCGTTCACTACAGTATTACTATAAGTGTATAAAATATAACATATCCTTCCCCATTAAGTGATATCGACATTGCTATGCTACTTATATCTGTCGACATAATAAGTAGTATGTAACACCAACAGAAAGCTAAGATGATCAAATCGAAGATAACGGGAACAGAGAATCATTATTATGACAATGAACGAACGATGAAGTTTAAAACAATTGATGATGAATTTGTAAATGAAGTACTGAACGTATGGTTTTTTCATATTTGATGAAAGAACTCTTAAATTTTATATTAAAATATAATTGATTATCCCCCACCTATATTTTTTGTTCATTACACTATCACTACAGATGAGGCCTGAATTGAAGTAATCGTAGTTAGTATCACAAGGGGTTTTGTGGCTATTATAGTAATTTCAATAGTTGAAATCATGAGTCCATGATGGTCTAGGTTCAATTGACTCATTATCTCAATTAATCATAATTAGTATCAGAAGGGGTTTTGTGGAGATTGTAGTAATGTCCATAGTTGAATGCACACTGCTGAGGAGTCCCACAATAGGACGAAACGGTCGTTCAGTGCTTCCAAGTTTTCCATGATGATCTAGCTTCAATTGACTCATGATCTCAACTATAATTAATATACTGAATTCACCTATCATTATTACGTTTCATTTAACAGGCGTTTTACAAGGTGATGTAAGTGTTATTCGTAATAAACAATCAATTAGTCGATTATTCTATCATGAAGCTCAACGAGTATTTCATGATCGATTAATTAATCAAGAAGATAAAATGTTTTTCAATCAAATTCTATCAGAAATGGCATTGAAATATTTCAGTGAAGTAAGTCATCTTTGTTTGTCTGTCTATTCAGTCTTTATGATTCATTGTTTAATAAATTTTATATTTAAATATGGAATGATAACAGGAGAGACTCTAATTTATGAACGTGATCATTGAGCGCCTATAACAAATAATACTGCAGGACTATAATTTGTGGACGAATCAATCAAGTATAAGATAAAAAAATCTCGGATTTTAACGCGAAACCCTTTCATCCATTTGGCTAAATAAATTTCTGACATTATAGTTGATGTCAGTTCGTGATGAAAACCACATATATAATTCCTAATTAAGGCAAATTATGACAATTATTGCGAACCGGATAATAAAACACTCGTAACACTGGCTACAACTAGGTACTACAATATATACGGATGATTGGAGAGCGTACATACTCCTAATTAGGCTTGGTTATGTGCATCGTGTCGTTATCCACAAGTAGCATTTTGTGCACTTAACAATCGGAGTGCACATAAACAATATTAAGGCTATGTGATCGAGGTTGAAAGAATTTTTCCGACCTTATCACGGCTCCAGAGACCGTATGAATGATTTTCTCTACTGCATGCATTACGACTTTAGAATCTCTGAACCTCTTTTAAACCTTGACAAGTTTTTGAACTACGTATAAGAAGTGTATCCATTTTATTTCCTTGGCTTTGTATAACATATTTTTACTCTATACTGACTGTTTGCCGGCTGGTTAATATTTCTCAAGTTCACTTAAGATTCGTTCAAATGCCGTCCATAAATTAGAGTCTCGCCTGATAATATAGTTCCGTTGATCTCTAACATTTAATCATGGTTTTATTATCATTAAACTGGAATGTTTTATATACAATAGTGTATCGTTAATTGATAGTTATCTTATTGTTATTTATTATTTTCTGCTTACATCTACTTTAATACATATCTTACTTAATATATTATCTTTCTTCATGATGATGGTTACTCTTTGTTTAAGAGATTTCTGAAGATCGTATAGTTTCATAGTTTATAATACGAACTGACCCTAAACAATGATTGTGAAAACCAGGAAGTACTAGCTAATATGGAACTCCTTGTGAGTTCACATCTACGTTACTACTATATATCAACCCCATAACTATAAGGTCTCTCAGGAGGAAGTGTATATCATTGGGTCGGTATCCAGTGATTTACACCTCTTAAAGCTATCCAGTGCTTTTTGGCCTTCAACAGTTGTCTGAATATGATCAATTCACGGAATAAGCTATCCATCCCTTATTTTCCAATGTGCAAGTGATAAGATATTTTAATTGTCTTCAAGAAATTATTTCAGTGGTTTACATTTTTATTGATTTTATTGTGGCTGGTCAACTTTTCCTAATAACATAATTAGTATTGATTGACGACAGTTAATATATTGTAGTTAAGGAATTTTTGTGGAAATCATCATAATTATTTTGGGTTAAATTCATGATAAACTGTTTCTAGTTGGAGTGGCATTGAAAACCAAAGAGCACTGGAGAGATATTTAATCCAAGTACAGTGCTCTTCACTAGTGAGAATCGATTCAATACCACAGTAGTAAATGTACATCAAAAGACGGAATAGCGATTAGGAAGGCAGAAGTCGTTTAATGTAAGAAAATGGGATACTTACGTACGGCCAAATTAATAAAAAATAAGGACTATTGAAGTTCGTTTGAAAGTCAAATGTTTATTGAATTCGAATTTGTAGGTCATCTATGAGCCAATAAATCTGAGGTTTTATAACCAGGATCATTTATTCCTCACCTTTCCAATGACCAATCTCAATTCCATAGTTCTCCAACATTGCCACTTCCATCGGACTTCGATGTGGATTCTTGGTTCACAGTGTGGTGGTGCGACTTAAGAAGGTGCTGCCCCATGGGAAAGAGTAACTGAGCGTTGCCTCGAGACTGAGGACAGTTGACGTTTTTAGATTCTCCTAGTAGAACACCTTTAATCTGCCAGTCTGGATTAAGAGCCCACATTCATCCCTCAATTTTGCTGAAGTACCCTCGCCAAGTAAGGACATTGAATAGGGGTTCCTGGGAAGAGACCACATGAGAGAAATTCTAAAGAATTTTGGCTGTTTATGGTTTATTGTGGCATTTGAGACGAACTACTAATGAGTAATATAATACTTTTCAGTGTTTAGTGACAACATATTTCGCTGGTTGTTTACCTATCTGCAATCATCAGTTATACCATTAGTTTGTTTTTTAAATGCCCATTTGTCAACAGTATAGCTTTCACTTTCATAACAAGAAATTCAGTCGTAAATATCAAAATAATGGCAGAAGAGGTTTTGTGGATATTATATTCAATCAGTCAGCCAGTTACAACGTAGGACCAGGCACATATATGCATCAGTCCAAGTTGCCATACCTCATTAACACAACAAGAAGAACACGAGATTCATAGGAGTAGTTAATTCAGTGGTGTTAATATATAAAAGAAAGATTGCAATAAGGATATAGTACAGGAAGAAAGAATTAGTTCGTAGAAAGCGATTTTAATCTCGTAGTTTAAGGGAAGACAGAGAGTGTATACACCGACGCCATTGTGATCGATTCTGAGCCATGTCACCAAGAGTCTCCAACCATTGGTTACGATAGTCACTAGTTGAGATCATGAGTCAATTGAAGCTAGACCATCATGGAAAACCTGGAAGCACGGAACGGTCGTTTCGCCAAGTTATCATTATTTCTCAATGCACAGAAATTATTGAATTCCAAGATTGATTTATCAGTCATGTAACTGAATTCAGACCGATTAAAAACTTTTAGCTCAAAATGTTGACATCAAAGTGAATTTAAACTCAACACCTTTTATTCTCTGATTTTCCCTTGTTACTTACTTACCTACTTACGTCTGTTACTCCCAATGGGGCTTAGGCTGCCGATAGGCATTCTCCAATCCACTCTGTCCTGAACCTTTTTTTTCTAGTTCTATCCAGTCGTTGTTAAATCTTCTCATATCTCTCTCCATTTCTCTGTGTGATGTGTTCTTTCGTCTTCCTCTCCCCCTTTGGCCTTGATAATTTCAAAAGATGAGGTTTTGCCTTGTGACGCAGTTGGGTGCTTTCCTCAATGTATGTACTATCAACTTACAGCGATTCTTCTTGATTTCTTACTCCACTCGAATCTGGTTTGCTCTCTCTCTCTCACACAGTAGGTTGTTACTGATAGTGTCTGGTCAACAGATTCGAAGCATTTTGTATAGACAACTGTTAATAAACACTTGTCTGTTCTGGATGATGGCTTTCACAGTTGTCCAGATTTCCACCCCATACAATAGAACTGTGTTGACATTTGTAATGAAAATGCTGATTTTGGTGTTGGTTAGCAGACAGTTGTTTTGATTTCCAGATGTTCTTCAATTGTATATATACTGTTCTTGCTATGCCGATCGGCGCATTCACATCTGCATCAGATTCACTGTTCTCATCAATTGTGCCCTGTACATTATATCATTTCAAAATGATAAAGGAATCAAAATCTGCTTTTTGTTCTAATGTGACTTCTTAGTTAGTAGAATGATAAACTGATTTTTTGAAGCCTAATTTTAAAAAATTAAGCGGCATTAATTCTCAAGTTAGTTGTCTCGGAAATTTATTTATTGGAATTCTAGTATAAAGCAGTAGTCAGTTGAGCCAAATGTGTTAGTAGTGAAAATGTGAAATACCACGATATTGGTTTAGGGAACACATCAAACGACTGCTATTGATCAGTCTCTTGTTGGCATATATGCATCCTGTGCGGACTGTCTCGATATTGTTCGAAGTCACAAGCTTCATAAGCAAAGATGGATAATGGCTAGCAATGAGATCCAGGACACAGGTCTCGTCCTATTTGGGACTGGTCAGGTGGATGTACCTGTATCTCAGACTTGGGATTCACTCGTGGAGGGTCTCGAACCCAGTACCGTTCGCTCCAAACTCCGTCGCGTTATCTACTTAGCTACTGAGTCTCAAAGCATTTGAAACGAACGGTATTGGGTTCGAGTCCCAGAGTGAACATCAACTCTGGGATGCAGGTACATCCAGCTGACGATTACTAAATAGGACGAAACGCGCGCCCTGGATTCCACTGCTAGCCACTATTCATCTTTGCTTATCCAAAGAGTGTTTGAGTAAATATTAAATTAATTCATTTTTTTCTTAGACTATAGAAGCAGAAACATTTACAAAGCATCCAATTTTATTTGGTGATTTTCTAAGACCTGGTATTCCACGATCTGAACGATTATATGAAGAAATAAATGATATGGATAAACTGAAATCATTGTTAATGGATGTAAGTATAAAAGATAAGGAAGAAGATTCTCTGTAATGTTTGTTGTTCATTTCAATATTTCTTGTATACATTATTGTTTGGAAAGAACTGTTTCATTAATGTGTTTATGACCTTCTGCTGTCTTAATTGTACATCTTACATTCTGCAGTCTATGTATAGGAACAGCAACAACAATAACATTAAGGGGGCGGATTTGCATGCATATAACATACAATTCTCTTTAAACCTAACACACAACAATAGCACCATACACTGTCCCATCTCCCTTAGCAGATCATGTAACTCGAAAGTCACGTGAACACCGTCAGGGCATACGACAGGCTAGGTACCCTGAGTCTATGTATATTTTTATATATTTTTCAGTAAAACAAGAACAGTAATCTGGTTGAACTAAGACAGTAAGATAAACTAATCGCAATTAAGATTTTAATTTGATGGTCACATTATAGCCAATTGTACTAGACGGCCGGTTCATCCTAGTGTGGGACTCATCGGCAGAGAGAACCCACGATCCCATATGCAAGACTTGAACCCAGGATCTTCGGTCTTGAGCGCAAACGCTTAATATCTAGACCACAAAGCTGTGATCCAACGGTGTTAATATCTAACTTCAACCAATCCACGACCATCTTCTATAGTCTGAGGAAGATACCTGTCTCTACCCGATCGGATTAGCCCCACTAGTCATGGCTTCTTACTAGAACTCCGAGAATCATCTCTCGAAGATAATCACTAGTGAGCACATGGTTATTGTCAACATGTGGTCAAGGAGATTGTTGAGTTTTTGATTCTCATAGACGGAGATGAAAATTTTTGAAAATTGTATTTCTGAACATTTACTTGTTAACACAATTTATATTACTGACGATTGTCTAAACGTTTAAACGTATATATACAGCTTGACAATTGTCTTTAGGTATCAGTTAAACAGAACAATATTTAGGATAATGAAATGTATATCCCTAAAAGAAAGCCATATCGATAAAACACTACCTGAATACTTAAAAATGAATTTTCTATCTGGATCCATTCATATTATGATCATCATAAAACAAGAAATGGATAAATGAAATCTTTTACTTAATGGCTGAATATACACATGAAAGGGAATTAATGCCGCTATTCATAAAAGAAACATTCAACAACTGTGGTATAACTTATTAAATAATAACGATAAAGATCATAAAACAACCAATAAGATCTCTATTAAGAAAAGTTTGGTACTAGCTAACAGTAGAATCCTATTCGTGACTCGTCAGTTGAATGTGGTTAAATCTGTGTTTGTATTCACTCCAAGATTCGAGGACCCAGTGTCTTTCACTTCAAGCGCTCAACGCATTATCCACTAATTTTCTAGGTCCGAATAGCCATTGGTCTTACTCATCGAATCAATCAACTCAGGATAATATATATCCCAAATAGTTTAATGGATTTGAGTTCTTAACATCAATAACACATGAAATAATTAATAGTGTTCTAATTGAGTAGATTTTCTGTTGTATTATATATTAATCTTTTTTCTATGAACATATAAAAACTCTTCTGTAAAGATTTCATTTTAAATGCTACATTTCTTTACAGTACTTGGATGATTACAATATGACAATGTCAAAGGATGTGAAACTTGTCTTCTTTGTCGATGCTATTGAACATGTTTGTCGTATTGCTCGAATAATTAGACAAGATAGAGGAAATGCTTTATTAGTTGGTGTCGGTGGTACTGGTAAACAATCATTAACTAGGTAAAATAAACGTCTTTTTCTTTAGTAGTGAATAATATAGATAACTGTTAGTCAGTAGTATATTATGGTAGTAGTGTAAACTAATCTGTATGATAGGTACTTCCAGTTACATGAATGACTCATTTAATTTGCTTTTTATTTGATGAAGTCTACGTATCAATTGAGATCAATACTTGAGGGTAGTGAATGATATTGTTCAGAAAAGACTACAGAAGTCCAATTGCATTCGCTTTTTATCTCCCCCGAGATCTTGAGCTTCAGCAATCTTCCAAATGTACCTTTACCGCTTTTTTATTTTAGAATCACATTTTCAGTGTTCAAACCTTTTCAATATGTTTGCTGCTACAATATTATGATCCCTTCGTCATCTTTCTTTTCGAAATCATCTTCTTGTGTTCATGGAAAATAGTAACTTGAACCAATACATGTATGTACTAAGCTCAGAGTTAATAATGACTGATTGACCAACTGAATACTGAAGCTTTTTCATGAACTTGAATGATCGTAAGAGTAGGTAATGAACTTGAATCACTGTCAAGTTAAACATATCAAATCGAGTGTAGTTTTGATGAGTGATGACTTGAACCAGTCAGTTATCCATTCATAGACAACATGTGGGTTCAAATTATGATAGCTCACATAAGCACAGTGAAAGGAGATATTAATATAATTAGGACGAAAGAAAGGAAACGATAGCATGCATAAAAGTAGAACTGGAGGTTTAATTTCAAAAGTCCTACTTTATTCTAATCGGTCAGTTAATTAGTCAATAGTGAGTCAGAAGATCTTAGATTCAACTAGATTCCATTTTCGTTTCATTTTCTTGATGTTTTGATAAATATGAACTCCGCCTGGAGTCCCTCCGGAAGCTACTGCCGGTCCCAAGCCCGGATAAAGGCGGGGAATTTGGGCATGGGCTTGACGACCCCATCCCGTAGAAAACTAACCCGCTAAAAAAAACGTTAGCCAGAAAAAATTATTCAAACCTTGATAAATATGACTATTAACATTTTATTACATTTTGGCCATTTTTCCTTATGGTAATGAAAATCAGATTGAATTAGTAAACGTAATTGTGATATGATTATCAAACAAACTGTTTAGGATCTTTCTAGTAGAGTTAGTTTATTCTTCACTGAATAGGAGGATATTACAGTTTTCATAGACTACAGGGAAGGGTGTCGTGTAGATAATCACTTCCATTCAGAAGTTCAAACTCTTACCTTATAGTGATTTGGTTAAATGTTCACAACTATGGTAAATGATTTAAAACTAATGATTATGTCTCATAGGTCTTAAAACGCTATTATTCGTCATCTCATTCGGGTTTGTTTAGATACTTGGATAGTTTCAATGGTTCAAACATTTCCGTTAATTACAATATCCAAACATACCAATGAACTGGACAATATATATATATATATATATATATATTACTCTAGATTTAATATTATGTAACAGGTTGCTCTTTATTTCAATAAACAATCATTCTAACTTATTATCCGGTTCTCAGTCGTGAGTCAGAATCGCGTATCGGTGTTTCACGTAAACCCTAATCTAATGTTCTGTTAACCTAATGTTTTATTTAGTATAGTGTTCTAATACACCTAGTCTATTATGTAATACACCACATCTTATCATCTACTATCAAGCCCCTGACTACAGAATATAATGTTTTCAATACCATAACACAGGCATTATTTTGTCTAAAGGAAAACATATAGTATTAAAATAGTCTCTATATTTTGCATTTCTTTTGATAAAGAGTAATATGGTATCCGTCTACAAACATTTCATTCTCTAAACAGTCGAAAAAGAACTAAGGGTATGGTAACATGAATGGACATTCGACTCATCATTACTAAGACCTAACTCATAAAGTTGTCAGTTTACGTTAATTACCTTAATCCTAAATCCAAATGTAACTTCCGACTCTGAATTCTAATCGTAATCTCTTACATAAATCTATTAATCTAGGTTACTTCAACATCAATTAAAGGTTGTCTCAAAATTATAGTCTCACTAGTTGTAACTTATCGGTTATGCTCAAGTTCTTAAATAAATGAATGGCAAGACTATAATCTATGGGCGAACTAGTCAGGTATACGTTAACAGGTCTCTGATTTCGGCGCGAAATTCACTCATCCATTTGGCTAAATACATTCGTGATGAAAACCCTAAATCTAATCATCAACTGTAAATCGTAATTCTAATTCCTCACACAGGTTTATAACCCTCATTTGATCCTGATTATTAGGTAAATACTCTCAGGGTCAGTCTGGCGTCTCTCAAAGGTCGTCCATAAATTATAGTCTCACCGACAATCCTACTTCAGATCGAACTGAGGATCATCAGGTTTGATATTGAGCGTTTAACCTTCGGACTATTGAAGTAGTATTCGATAATTTACACATTTAACTTCAATCAATTCACGATATTAAATTCACATGGTATTGTTTGTTTGAATCTTCCCATTGATGTTTAGAACTGTAATCCATCAATCTCTTATTGGTATATGTGCATCCTGTGCTTATTGCCTCGATATTGCCTTAATTCACAAGCATTATAGGCAAAAATGGATAGTGGCTAACAGTGGATAACGCGATGACGTTTGAAGTGAACGATACTGAACGATACTGCTATGACCTTGAATCGCTTTTACCCCGTCGATACTTGTTATGACTTGACCTTGATCTGTCTAGTCGAGATTATGACTTTGGCGCAATAGGCTGAGCGGTTTAACCTTGAGTCTAGTACGTGTCAGTTCGAGATGGGGTAGAGAGACGAAAACTATTCTACCACCTGATTGGCTGGTAAGCACGCAAGTAAGAGAAGACAAGACAGTTGGAACACTCTGAATTCGGATTAGTGCAAAAATGTACATGAATAAATAAGTGAATATCCTGACCACAGCATACGATAATTTGGGAAAATACTATTATGTCCAAAACTGGGAATTAGAGTAGAAAATAAGGTGCAAAATATTGTTTAAATTACAATAGTTTTGGAACAAAAAAGGGTATGGCAATCAATGATACATCGAACGAAAGCTCATGTTCTGTAGAATAAAATAGGGACAAAAATAGATATAAGCGTTTTACAGGGTTTGAATAAAATGAAATAACGTCCCAAGAAATAGCCTTCGTAGTTTGTCTGGGCTTCTTATTTCTTTGTTCACAACAGAGTCTCAGAGTGAACATCAACTCTGAGATGTAGGTACATCCAGCTGACGAGTCCCAAATAAGACGAAAAGCGCGTCCTAGATTCCACTTCTAGCCACTATCTATCTTTTCTTAAAATACTTGTGACTTAAGGCTAGTATCGAGGCAATCCACACAGGATGCACATATCCCAAAATGAGACTGATCAATTACAATCTTCAATAACAATGGGAAGATACAAGTAAAACAACATCAAGTAAATTTAAACTTCACCTCATTGCACAAGTAGGTGGCTATCAGGACTCAACAACTAAGTGGATAACACGATGACATTTGAAGCGAACAGTATCAAATTCGAGTCCCATAGTAAATATCAACTCTGAAACGTAGGTACATCCAGCTGATAAGTCCTAAATCAAACGAAACATGCATCAAACTGAATTCCACTTCTAATCACTATCCATTTTTGCTTATCATTCATAATATTGTCCATAATCTAACTTATCAAATTTATTGATTGAGATCATGAACCGATTGATGTTAGAGCACCATTGAAAACTTGAAAGCATTGTACGGCCGTTTCGTTCTATTGTACTATACTCCTTAGCAATGCTCATCCACAATCCCACTTGCGGGATTCGAACTCAGAGCCTTCAGTTTTTGCGCGCGAATACTTAACCTATTAGACCATTGAGCTAGCCGGTCGGTATCCAATGATGTTAATACGTAACCTTAACTAATCCACAAAATTACTCAACCATATTCCATTGTACTATGGTAGATACATGTCTCCATCCAACATGATAATGATCAAATGTAATCATCTACATTAGTTGTCTATTGTAATCATTCATCGAATGTTTTTATTCTTTCATTCTTTTGAATATTTTAGATTAGCAGCACATATCAATGATTATCAATGTTATCAAATTGAATTATGTCGTGGTTATGATTATGTATCCTTTCATGAAGATCTAAAAAAACTTTATTATATCGCTGGTATAGATAATAAACCAACTGTATTCTTAATAACAGATAATCAAATTATTATAGAAGAATTCTTAGAAGATATTAATAATATATTGAATTCTGGTGAAGTCTCCAATCTATTCGATAATGATGAATATGAACATATTATTAATGATTGTCGTATAGCAGCAAAAGAATATGGTATTATTGAAGGGAATCGTAATGGAATTTATGAATTTTTTATTAATCGTATTAAAAATAATTTACATATTGTATTATGTATGTCACCAATTGGTATTAATTTTCGTATAAGATGTAGAATGTTTCCATCATTAATTAATTGTTGTATCATTGATTGGTTTATTGAATGGCCTAAAGAAGCATTATATAATGTTGCTATGTATACATTTTCACAAGAGGATTTTGGTTCAAATGAACTTAAAGTAAGTTATGGATTATTATTATTATTATTATTATTATTATTATTATTATGAATATGAATTTAAGTGAGTTATGGTATAGTCAGTTTTAATTATGTATTATCCTAATCAGTTAGTTTTTCAACAATAACGTAGAACATCGTCAGTATATACGTACATCAGTTCAAGTTGATATACCACATTAGAATAGAAATACAATTTCACTGATTGAAATCATGAGTAAATTGAAGCTGGACCACCACGAAAAACCTAAAAGAACTAGACCCCATCTCATAATAATCATCTGCTCACTAGTGATTAACTTCAAAAGATACTCTTGGAGTTCTTGTGAGAAGCCGTTATCAGTGGAGTTCAACCAGGTCTGTTGTGAGATAGGAACTCACTGAAGACAATAGTGTACGATAACGTAACTTCGTGGATTGGTTGAAGTTAGACATTAACACTGTTGGATGCAGGCTCAGTGGTCTAGTTGGTTAACCGCCTGGTGCGAAACTGATAGGTCCTGGGTTCGAATCTCACGGGATATGGGATCGTGTATGCGCACTGCTGAGGGGTCCCATACTAGGACGAAACGGCCATCCAGTGCTTCCAGGTTTTCCATGGTGGTCTAGCTTCAATTGACTCATGATTTCAATCTGTGGAATTTCTTAAATCTCCACAAAACCCCCTCTGAAAAATACAGTTGTCAATTCAATTACAATAGTCGTAGAGGTAGTAAAAGTATAAGCAGTAATCGGAAACACTAAGTTTTGAAGATGTTATTCAAGGAGTATAATCCAGTGAAATAAAATTGGAAAGAGAAAACAAGGGACATGAAGAATTCAGAAGATTAGAATTCGTAGGAACACAAAAAGTGGATACACCTGCGCACACCATTACAAACTATTTTGAGCCATGTCATTTAAGGTCTATAATCATCGGTTGCTATCATCTCGCGGATCACAACTAGGTAGTCTACACCTACCAACATGACTCAGTCCGCTTGTCAGTGACTTCATGGATTTGTGCCATGTTTCGGTCTGGCCACCCCTAGCTTTCTTCCATCCTACTCCTAGACCATGAAACATCTCTCATCGGGGCAGTCGGTGGTTGGGCATACGTAACACTTGTCCCAGCCATCTCAACTGATGAAGTTTCACTACTTCATCAATCGATTTGCCATCCTTACCTAGTACCCGTTTCTTAACAACTGCATTACTTACTCGATGGTCCCAGGATATACGAGCAATGCTTCGAAGACACATATGATCAAATACTAGTAACCTACAAATATCCTTTACTCTTACCGGCCATGTTTCACTGCCGTAAAGTAGGACAGAACGAACTGCTGCACAGTAAACCCGTCCTTTGGTTGGTAGACGGATATCTCGCCTACGCCATAAATGACGCAAGTTGGCAAAAGCCAGTCAAGCTTTCTGTAACCTTAATTGGCTAATCTGAATAATTCAATTATCTCAATGATTGGAATAAATAGTCAGTAAAAAAACAGATAACACTCAATAGTTTATTCCAAATATTTGCTGGAATTAATTTAGTTACTCTGCCAGTTTATTGATGTAGCCATTAGAACAGCATCTAAATTCTTCAAGAAAATGTTAAATAACATTTTCAAGAAATACAGAAGCATTAATCTATGTTCAATTGCTCAAAATCAATTCAGAATTTAACATAATAAAAATAGTTGGAAAACCTGGAAGCATTGGATGGCTGTTTCTTCTTAGTATGGCTCTCCACGATCCTTCTTACGGGACCCAAAACCAACACTTTCGATCTAGCGCGCAAACCCCTGTGTGGTAGTTACTCACTGAAGACAACAGTGGAAGGTTGAGCGATATTGTGGATTGGTTGAAGTTAGACATTAACACCGTTGAATGACTGCTCAGTGGTCCAAAGGTTAAATATTTTCACTCGAGACCGAAGGTTTTAACCTGGAGTCTCACATGCAAGATCGTGGATGGGGATTTCTGATTAGTTCCATACAAGTATGAGACTGCCGTCCAATACTTCAAGGTTTTTAATAGTGGTCTAACATTGATTAGTTGAAATGATAATTTGAGAATTCTATTCCATATTATGTTAAAGGAAAATGTTTCTAGAAGCATAGAAAAGTTAGAATTACTGAATAACAATTATATTCTTACTCATTTTGAATAGAACATTTAGCTCACTTGAATTCTATGGATTCCATGGAAATCATTAGGCTCTATATACATATACTGTGTATTGGTTACTTTAAGTGTTTTAATTGTATTCTTCTCGTTTCCCATGCCTAAAAGGCAACCAGCAAATGTGAACGCGCTTACTAAGAGATTTGCAAGCTATGTGTTTCATTTCTTACGAAATTCTAGGTGAGCATTTTGCTATAGAGTTCTATACTAGAATGAAAATGTCATCCCTTTATTTTCTCTTTCCAAATTTATTTCACTGGATTAGACCCCATGAATAACATCTTCAAACACTAATGTTTCCGATTATTGTTTATACTTTTACTACCTTTACCACTATGAAATTTGAATCGATAATTGTATCTCCGTTCTAATGTGTTATGTCAACTTGAACTGATGTACGTACGTACTTACGAAGTTCTATATTGTTACTGACTAATTGACTAGTAATTTCAATAGTTTAAGATCACGAGTCATTTGAAGCTAGACCACCATGGAAAACCTGGAAGCACTGGATGGCCGTTTCGTTCTATTGTGGGACTCCTCGGCAGTGTGCATCCACGACTTCGCCCCCTGCGAGATTCGAACCCAGGACCTACTGGTTTCGCGCGCAAGCACTTAACCACTAGACCACTGAGCCGGTATCGAACGATGTTATTGTCTAACTTCAACTAATCCACGAAATTGAGCGATACATTCACCATTGTCTTCAGTGAGTTACTATCTCACAACAGACCTGGTTGAACTCCACTGGTTACTACTTCCTACTAGAACTCCAGGATATACTTCGTGTTTCTGTCATAATGTCAGTCTATGATGTAAACTACAAACTTTTACAATAGTCATAAGTTTGTAAAGCTAATAGATTTTTTATTTATTTCTATTCTTAACAGGAATCAATATCAAAATTATCTACTGATATTCATTTAAGTGTTTCAGAAGCAGCTGTACGTTTTTATAATGAATTAAAACGTCATTATTATACTACACCGACAAGTTATTTAGAATTGCTTGGATTATATATGACAATGTTGAATAAAAAAACAAAGTGAGTTAGTTCATTCTAAATAATAAGTCAAAGATTATTAAAACTTACAATTGATTGATCACTGGGTTAATGATCCATGTCATGTATGTCAAGTCCGTCTTAGTGTAGATCAAATCCTATCTACCAAGTTGTAACTTGGTTCATACAGTTATAATTGTGATTATCATCAAAAAATTGTTTATTTCTAAGAAAAGATGGATGATGGCTGGCAATGAGATCCAGGACACGCGTTCTAACCTATTTTGAACTTGTCAGCTGAATGTATCTGTATTGCAGAATTGATGTTCACTAGTATCGTCCACTTCAAATGCTATCATGTATCTCCACTTAGTTACTTAATCATAATGGCTATTAGCTTGTGCAATCGGGTAATTCGGTGTTTTTCTCACTCCCTAATGCATTTTCTTTCTCTTTTTTTTTGTCTAGAGAATTAACTGATGGACGTGATAAATTTCGTAATGGTTTAAATAAAATATTAGAAACTAATGATTTAATTGCTAAAATGGAAACGGAACTAACAGCATTACGTCCAACACTTGAAGCGAAACAACGTGATACAGAAAAATTGATGATAAAATTAAGTGAAGATCAAGAACAGGTAATTTATTATATTCAGTATTTGAATAGATAATGATATACAACAATAACTCGTACTTCATTTTAAAACTTGAAACTTATTAATTAAGTGTTGTTAAAGTTAGACATTAGCACCGTTGGATGCCGGCCGGCTCAGTGCCCTAGTTGGTTAAGCACCAGTCGCGAGACTGATAGAGCCTGAGTTCAAATCTCGCGGGGACGGGGTCGTGATTGCTCACTGCTGAGGAGTCTCATACTAGGACGAAACGGCCGTCAAGTGCTTCCAGGTTTTCCATGGTGGTCTAGCTTCAATTGACTCATGATTTCAACCAGTGAAATTATCAATTAAGTATAAACATATCATTGTATATGTACTTCCAGAAAATATGACTTAATTACCTATTACGTAACCATAGCCTCTTGTTTATCTACTCGTGGTTGTCTATTCCATGTATGATCATGCGTATTCTACTCTGTGGACGCTGTAATTAAGATGAAACAATCATCCGGTTTCCTTTAAATTTTCATTGTTTACCACATGATATTAGTTTTTGATGAAGTATACCTTACGAATATTCATAAAATCATCTAGTTATTTTGTGTTGTTTTATTTTTCTTCAATCCTTCATTATCAGGCTGATATTGTTCGTAGTCGAGTTAAAGAAGATGAAATGTTGGCTAAACAAAAAGCAGCTGAAAATCAAATTATAGCTGATGATGCACAACGTGATTTAGATGAAGCAATACCAGCATTAGAAGCAGCTAATAAAGCACTTGATTCATTAGATAAAAATGATATATCTGAAATTCGTGTATTCACTAAACCACCACAATTAGTACAAACTGTTATGGAAGCTGTTTGTATTATGCTTGGACAAAAGTAAGAAATATATATAGATATATAGTATCCGCGGCATACTTAACTGACATGATACTTGCTACTGGAATCATGAATTGGATAACTGAAGTAATAGATAACTGAAGATTATAGATAAGGATTCAACTGACTTCTAAGATAAATCAATATGATATATGAATATACCACTATTTATACATGATTTTTTTACAGTCAGATTTTTGATTGAGATCATGAACCGATTGATATTAGACCACCATTGAAAACCTAGAAGCATCCGATGACGTTAATTCTGGCTCAGTGGTTCAGTAGGTTAAGCATACGCGTGCGAGACTGAAGGCCCTGGGTTCAAATCCCGCGGGCAGGATCGTGGATGCATACTGCAGAAGAGTTCAACAATAAGAAGAAACGGCCGTCTAGTGCTTCCAGGTTTTCAGTGGTGGTCTAACATCAATCGGTTGATGATCTCAATCAAAAACTTAATAATCTCAACAAACTTTATACTTATACAGTCAGACTTATTTATACTAAACTGAGCGGTATTTAACTCCGAGTATTTAATAACTTTCCATGTTAATACATTTACAATATAATACAATTAAACATACAAAACTAAGAGATGCAACTAAATGACCAGGTTATACAATCACTCCTTCTTAAGATTTGATTACATGGTAATAACGATTGGAAAACAACTTTATATGTCGTTAACACTGTAATACATTAGATAATTCTTTACCATATCAATGCACTTTGTCGGTTTTACTTGGAGAACAACAGTCAACAAGTAGCACGCTATTTATTTCTCCTACTTGAACAGTTGGATTTTGATCTGTCATTCAGTCACCGATCTAAGTGATCAGAAGTTATCCGGACTTACGACCGGCAGTAGCCCCAGAGGGGCTCGAGACGCATCACACTTGACAGAGGAGGATCTAAAGATTTTTACAGATCTGGGCAGCATCAATGATGAGCATGCTGGATCTGATCCAGATGTGAATGCACGGATCGGCAAAGCAAGAACAGTATATATACAATTGAAGAACATCTGGAAATCAAAACAATTGTCTCTCAACCAACACCAAAATCAGCATTTTCAATACAAATGTCAACACAGTTCTTTTGTATGGGATGGAATCTTGGACAACTACGGAAACCATCATCCAGAACAGACAAGTGTTTATTAACGATTGTCTACACAAATACTTCGGATCCGTGGGCCAGACACCGTCAGCAACAACTTGCTGTGTGAGAGAACAAACCAGAATCCAGCAGAGGAAGAAATCAAGAAGAATCGCTGTAAGTGAATAGGATACACATTGAGGAAAGCACCCAACTGCGTGCGTCACAAGGCAAACCCTCATCACTTTAAATCCTCAAGACCAAAGAAGGAGAGGATGACCAAAGAACACATTACACCGAGAAAAAGGAAACAGATATGAGAAAAATGAATAACAATTGGATAGAACTAGTAAGGAAGGTCCAGAACAGAGTGCGTTGTAGAATGCTGGTTGGCAGCCTATGCTCCATTGGGAGTAGCAGTAATTAAATAATAGTAATTTGAGCTCATGAGTCAATTGAAGCTATACCACCTTGAAAAACTTGGAAGCACTGGACAACTGTTTCGTCCTAGTGTGAAACTCCTCAACAGTACACACTCACCTAACCAAATAATTTGTTATATTTCACCTAATCATTTACCATTATTATTATTATTTCCATTTAGAGGTGATTGGGCAACAGCTAAAACTGTATTGAATGATTCCAATTTTTTAAGAAAATTAGTTGAATATCCAAAAGATGATATAACTGATGGACAATTGAAAAAATTAAAAAAATTTATTGATAATCCTGAATTTATACCAGAAATTGTTGAAAAAACAAGTAAAGCTTGTAAATCAATGTGTATGTGGGTTAGAGCATTGAATTTATACGCTCATATATTTCGTACTGTGGAACCAAAAAGGAAACGGTATGATAATATTCTTAGATTTTTTTGTTTTAATATATATATATATATATATCTTTAGACTGTTTCGTTGGTTGATCGATTGATCGGTTGAGTGATTGGTTGGTTGGTTGACTGATTGCTTGGTTGATTTATTAATTGGGTGATTGATTGGTTAGTTGGTTGATTGATTGACTGATTGATATATTGACTGGCTGATTGGTTGGTTGGTCGATTGATTGATTGAATAAATCATTGGTTTTGTCGTATTTGATTACTTTCCATTTCCTTCTTTGAAATATTTCCAAAAGTTAAATACCACACTTTAATACCAACTCTCTTGTTATTCTTCTTGGAATAGCATTAGATAAGTGATGTGTGGGTGAGAATAGTAATGATTGGTTGTTCGCTTAGTCAGACATGTAGATAGTCGGACAAGTGTCAGATGAGTTAAATATATTCCCCTATCTTTATTATTATTAGTGACTCATTATTGATTGTTCATTGCTGTCGGGATGTGTCGGGCTTTATTTATATTTACGTTGTGGTCAGGTTAATCACGTGTTCTTGATCTGAGTCGCGTTGAAGTCCTGTAGAATAGACACTGGGAGGGAATCTAGTGTAGATATTTGTTGAGGGTAAATTAACGTCCCATACGTGTAAACGTGGAAAACCAACCGCTATAACAATAAGATATGAACTGAAAGTGGTAAAATCAAACCTTGAGTTAATTCAATAATACTTACAAAAGTACTGACTTGAAATAGTGAAGTACTGAAAATTATCTATGGTAGAGTCTAATAAAATGAAAAGTTCTTGATTACTAGTATGCTAGCCTAAAAATTCATACAACTACAAATTGAAATGATGAAGGTTTATAACTTAGGTGAATCTCTTTAGTAGGATTGGGTTTGTTTGAGCTAAATGATTTAATTATGAAGCTTTAATTATCATCCTTATCCAATGTAGAAATGAGCTTTTTGATTACTCCATAGGCATTGAGTATTCTCGTATTCCCGTTCAATGCTTCGTTAGGTCAACCTTCCAATTTGCGATTGATTGTTCTTCTCGACATAAATTGTTAAACTGAATTTATATTTATGGGTGTGCTGCTGATTACAGATTGACATGAATCTCGTGCTTTAAGAGATTTTCGTTTATTCTTGGAATTTTCCCGACCTATTGATTACGCATCCATGTAGTGTCTTAAACTGTCTAATATACTCTAGTATCCTATTTAAAACTACCTCATTCTCTTACTTCCAGATTGTGATCAGTTCGAATTCTATTCTGATTCTTAAGAATATACTTTCTACTTCTTGTATTATATTGAAATAAAAATATTTGACCATGTGATAGTACTGAGAGAAAGATTTCATTTAATGTTTGTGCTGATGATGTCGTTCAAAAGAACGATGAAAGCTTCGCGACCAAACCATCCAGCTCAGAGAATGAAACTCCATGAAAAACAGAAATATAACATTTGTTGATCCACGGCATAGTTGATTAAACTCATAATAATCAGTTATGTATATCTGTAACAAATAGATAATGTATGCATCATTTTTTTCAAATTGTTGTAATGGGCATGGTCTGAAACTGATAATGATATACGGTGTGCTAAGCGATAACCCCCCCCCTCCACAAATGATTATTTGAGCAAGAATATAACAGTGAGCGAGAAAGTGTCATTGTCTACCGAATAAAATGCACAGAAACTCTCTTCCTCGCTCTATATATATATCACTCTAATCCTTATAAAATCGATCCATTGCTTATTCAATGAAATGAACTTGTCCTTTAGGTCACATTTGATTATCATCGATGGTCCTTCTCATTAGGCTACATTTTTTTATTATTTACAAAAGACATACATATGTATATCTAGAGTCTTTAACTAAGGAAGTTAAATGAAATAACCCTAAAGGAATCGTAGCAATAGAATAGTATTCACTCGTAACCTCTTTATTAATTTTTATTCTTTCATCTGTTCCTTGATGTTTAATTTTACATTGCATTCTATACTATTCGTCTTTATCTCATTACTACTATGGTTTGGTTGTATTGTTTAATGTAAGTTCTGCTGCATTATTTGTCCAAAATATCATAGTGATTAAAAACACAAAAATAGAGATAGCCAGACGTATTTGGATGAAAAATTACAGTTATTTGATAAAATATGAATACTATACGTTCACTAATTGATTTGTAAAATGTCCATTAATTTTCCCACAATTTATTGTTCTTTCATTTGTATACCAATTACTTTCCCCGACCGTTGTTGGTGGTCAAGCTTGCCTATCATGATGAACCAATAGAGCTATACTGGCTACAATAATCGTTCCTCAAGGTCCTACCATGCAAGACAGATCGATTAAAGAGCGGTAAGACTACAAGCAACAAACCCAAGATCCGAAGGCGAAGTCGTATTGCTGACTGTACAGAGGTGTGACAGCAGTAAGGTGTTTCCTTCAGACAGCCAGTATAACAGAGATTCTACCTTCCCACAAGGAGGGGTGGGGTTAGAAAAGGTCGACCCTAGAAATGCACACCTCACCTTATCCCATGGATATCCGTCTCCAGCGGTAAGGTCTCAACAAGTACGGAGCCAAACCGAAAATTACTCACAACAAGGTCGTGTATGACTGACCTCAGGCAGTTGTCCCTTGGACACTGCGGTCACGCTCTCAGGTCACTAAGGCCACTTCTAATCCAATTTTCTTCTCAGGTACCTTCGGAAGAACCCTTCCACGGTGTCGGTAACTGGGAAGTGATAACCACCTTCATACCTCTAACAGCACTGAAGACCACTGCATTCATAATCAACCTCCCTCTTGTCCAATTACTTTCTGTTCCGATTCTTTTTTATTTGATCTCAACCATCTACTACCAGGCATTCTATTTGTCACTAACATTTTATACTACTTATTTTTACATAAGCAGCGCAGACATACCAATTACTCCCTTTCCCTGTTCAATTTTCTTTGATTGTCTCGAACCTTCTGTTACCATGTGTTCCAATTTCAAGTGGTGTCACAAACTACTTATATTTGTCGACACTAGTAGCATACACCACAGTAAATAACTGATTGATTGTATTTGTTTTTTTTTGGAAAAAACAAACTACGGTAATACAAAAACAAGGATATTAATGTCTAACCTCAACCAATCCACGAAGTTGCGCGACCATCTTCTATTGTACTGAGGTAGACACCTGGTTTTACCCGACACGGATTAGCTCCAGTGGTCACGGCTTCTCACCAGAACTCTGAGAATTTTCTCACGAAGCTAATCACTAGTGAGCACATGGTAATTATCAGTTTAGATGGGATGTGGAGATTGTCAAGTTTTTTTTTGGATTGAGATCATCAACCGACTGATGATATTAGACCACCATTGAAAACCTGGAACCGCTGAACAACCGTTTCGTTCTATTGTGGGACTCTTCAACAGTGCGCATCCATGTTGGGTAAAAGACACAGGTATCTACTTCAGTACAATAGAAGATGGTCGCGGAACTTCATGGATTGGTTAAGGTTAGACATTCACATCATCCATCCAGTAGGTTAAGCGTTCCCACGCAAGACTAAAGGCTATGGATTCGAATCCTGTGAGCAGGATCATGAATGCGCACTGCATCATCAATCGGTTGATGTGATCTTAATCAAAAACTTAACAATCTCCACACCCTATCTTATCATATTTACAATTCTCTTCTATTTCTTTCTATATTTTAGTTTAGAAGAAGCAAATGCCGATTTAGATATTGTTATGCGTAAACTTCAACAAAAACAATTAGAATTATTCAATGTCGAAGAGAAAATTACATTATTACAACAAGAATATCATCAATCAATGAATGAAAAAAAGAAACTAGAACAATATTTAACATTAATATCAACTCGATTAAAACGTGCTCATAAATTAACCATTGGTTTAATTGATGAACAAGAACGTTGGAAATTATCTATAGAACAATATAATTTACAATTAAATCATATAATAGGTGATGTATTAATAGCATCCGCTTGTATTGCATATTATGGTGCATTTACAATTACTTATCGTGATGACTTAATAAAACAATGGATTCATCGTTGTTATGAATTAAATATATCACTTAGTGAAGAATTAACTTTATCTCATATTCTTGGTAATAATTTATATGAAATAAGACAATGGTTAATACAAGGTTTACCAAATGATTCATTTAGTATAGATAATGCTATTTTAATGAAATATTCAAGACGTTGGCCATTATTTATTGATCCACAAGAACAAGCTAATCGTTGGATACGTACAATGGAATTACAGAATCAATTAAAAATTATTAAATTAACCGATTCAAATCTATTAAGAATCTTAGAAAATTGTATACGACTTGGTTTACCATTATTAATTGAAGATATTGCTGAAATATTAGATCCTTCATTAGAATCTATTTTATTAAAACAAACTTTTATCTCTGGTGGTCGTTTATTAATACGTCTTGGTGATAATGATATAGAATATAATCAAAATTTTCGTTTATATATAACAACTAAATTATCTAATCCACATTATTTACCTGATATATCAATTAAAGTAATAATTATTAATTTTACTGTTACATTAAATGGTTTACAAGATCAATTATTAAATGATATTACTAGTATTGAAAGACCAGAATTAGAAGAACAACGTAATCAATTAATTGTTAAAATTAATACAGATAGAAATCAATTAAAAGTAAGTGAAATGTTTAAGGTTTGTTATTTTTGTGTTTATGTATGTGTGCGTGTGTGTATGTATGATACCTATCAGTGGCCCCCAAATGACTTGATATGGCGGCGAGTGGAGAAAGTCAGTTCTTTTTCTCTCTGTCGTTCTCTGTTATAAACTTCGATCGCTTTTACCCCGTCAATAGTTTGTTATGACTTGACCTTGATCTGTCTAGTCGAGATTATGACTTTTGCGCAATAGGCTGAACGGTTTAACCTTTAGTCTAGTACGCGTCAGTTCGAGATGGGGTAGAGAGACGAAAACTATTCTACCACCTGATTGACTGGCAAGCACGCAAATAAGAGAAGACAAGACGGTTGGAACACTCTGAATTCGGATTAGTGCAAAAATGTACACAACGTACGATAATTTGGGAAAATACAATTATGTCCAAAACTGGGAATTAGGGTAGGAAATAAGGTGCAAAATATTATGTTTAAATTACAATAGTTTTGGAACAGGAAAGGGGTATGGCAATCAATGATACATCGAACGAAAGCTCATGTTCTGTAGAATAAAATAGGGACAAAAATAGATATAAGTGTTTTACAAGGTTTGAATAAAATGAAATAACGTCCCGAAAAATAGCTTTCGTAGTTTGTCAGGGCTTCTTATTTCCCTGTTCACAACACACTCTCCTAATGCTATCACATGACCACATGCATACAACCACTGTCAGGGAAATCCTACTCACTGCATTCTGGCGACATTACTGTTGTTTAAGAAATTGAAACGATAAAAAGCGAATGTCCGGCGACTTCACCCGATTGGTGGATACGGAGGATCCACCTAGGGGAGTTGGAAAACCCTCATTACAAACTATTGGTGTATATAGGCTCCAGGATCCTAAGGAAACAAATGGAGTATGATCCAATTATCGGCCACTGGTTACCATAAGACTGCATCTCCTGACGTTGTCCCACTGCAATGAGGCTCAGGGTGTAGCCCCCTGAAAAAGCCACCTGTTTCGGTTTAGGCACCTGGACAGTATCCCAGCCGTCACAGAAATTGAATGATTTATGTGGCCCATATCTATTTGGTGCTTTCTTGTACCAATCTTTATGTGTTTAAATAAATCAATAAATATAAAACCCATCAGTAAGTTTTGTTTGATTATTTACACTTGTAGGAAGCAATTTCCTACAGGTATAACTCTAAACTATTCACTAAACTGTCAAGCACAGAGTCTTGGTTTAGTCAAAGTCAGAACAAGTAAGCTATTTGGCTTGAGAAAACTACTTTATCTGTTACTAAAACATAAATGAACATCGTTAGTGTACAAAAACAAACAGTACAGTCTATGAACACAGGGAAAAACGGAGACAAATAACTTACCGAACAGTAGCTAGTGTAAGAAAAATGAGTCAACAAGGCAAATATTGTTTTACAATGAACATCAAACTGTGATTGGTTAATAAAGAGACACAGTCGTACAAGGTCAAAGAAAGTTAATGTGATGGTGGGCGTTTCATTTTATCATTGGTGAGTTCGTTTATCGATCACACTTGACATCACTATGATTTGAAGAAGTATATTATGGGATTATCCAAGATTTTACTAAAGTGAAACTAAATAAAATCAATATATATGGATTTAATAATTTCCAATAATCAGTGTTTATCATTGTGATTATTGATAAAACTATTTTGTTGACTTTGAGTAATTTCGAGAGAAAACGATTAATTGTACGCCTTAGAAATATTGCTGGCGTCTGCTGGGATCACCCGGTAAGTTTATAGTAAGGATAGACGCAGGGTATAAGGGAATGATGGTAAATCAGTTGACGACGTTGTGAATCCTCATCGACTGAGATGATTGAGCCACGTGTTACGTATGCCTGAACACCGTTTACCACAACACTCAATGTTGACTAGTGTTGGAGACAGCTGGAAGAAAGTTAGGGGTGGTCAAACCAAAATGTGGCATCAGGGCTTGAAGTCACTAATTTCTAGTCTTAGCCATGTTGATAGATGCAGACTACTTGGTCGGGTTCCGCCGTGACTATCGTAACCAATGATTGGAGACTCCTAGTGACATGGCTCAGAATCGACCACAATGGCCTAGATGTATACACTCCCTATCGCCATCTGGTTTTGATTTTGATTTAATTTAATATAAGTGTTCAATCCATGTATTCATCTCTTCAAACTTCAAAGGATTGTTAGCTACAATATTATACATCTTGTTCAATAGGTATTAGTTGTTATTAGAATTCGAAAGTTTACGGTATTCGTTTGCTTACATTACTTTTATTCGTTTATTTAAACACATAAACATTGGTACAAGGAGGCCCAAATAGACATGCGTCACATAAATCTAATGATTTATGTGAAGGCTGGAATACTGTCCGGGTGCCCAAACCGAAGCGGGTGGTTTTCCTAGGGGGCTACACCCTGAGCCTTTGACCTAAAGGTCCAATCCACAAGGGAGTGGAACAACGTCAGGAGATGCAGTCTCATATTAGCCGGTGACCAATAATTGGTTCATACGCCATTTTGTTCCTTAGGATCCTGGAACCAATATATACCAATGGTTTGGAATTAGGGTTTTCCATCTCCTTAGGTGAGTCCTCCGTATCCACCAATAGAAATTATTACTTATAGTTAGTCCAGTACTTGCTTACTTCAGATGTAATTTGTTGATATAAATTCCTTTGTAAGATAAAATGTGAATTTTTTTCAGAAAAAGACTAAGCAGACTATTCATATCATCTATCGCTTCAAGTTTTGTAGACGGTTTATTGTTTGTAATGAGGTTTGTATTCACCCACTTTTTCGGTAATCAAGACTAAACCTAATCAGTTTTTATTGCCTTACAGATGTTTCATTTTTACCTGTGTTCTACCAATTCGACTGTAAGAATCAGTAATAAAACCAAAAATGAATGTTTCCTATCAATTGGATATTCGTTAGTTTAAGTAGCCTGTAACAAACTATTATTGTTGTCTAGTTAAATCAAGAGTAAAACTGTTATTGATTGATGCATTGAGATGATTTCCATTTTATATTAATTAAACATGAACTTTAAAATTGTAAATTATTGAATTCGGATCCAGTGATTGAATAGTAAGATATCAATATTCAGAATTCGATTCGAATGAAATGCTACTATGAAATGTCATACTAATTTGAAAGAAGACATCCACTTTTCTTTGAATTTCAGTGATCGTCAGTTCATTAAATCCAGAAATCCATTTTCAGATTTCAATAGGCAGATAGACAGATAGATATCCTCAACGAAGAACATTGGTCAAAGCTGGTTAGCGTTTTTTTTAGCGAGTTAGTTTTCTATAGGATGGGGTCGCTAACCTTATGTCCAACCTTCCTCCTTTATCCGGGCTTGGGACCGGCAGTAGTCCCAGAGGGGTTCCAGATGGTGTTGGTCAAGGATAGCTGTTGGGATATTCAGAAAAATATCCCAAAAATTATCCTGTTAAGTCTAATGCTATCCTTAAACGTGAAATGGTGTCATTTTCCTATTGGTCAATATTCACGGTAGTCCTTATTGTATAAATATGCATTTGTCTGTAAAGTATTATTCTTATTCTTATTCTCATTCTTCTGACCTCATAAACAATTATCGTCTACGGTTCATGTTCTGATATATTGGAGATTGAGGAACAGTATTGGGGTCGTACTGAGATATCTGAAGTTGGTCAGTCGGCTCCCGAATGCCCTGGTATGATCCGAGAGTAGGGAGAGTCCGCTCTCCTTCTCCAAATGCTTTCACACGGCCATGAGTATATAGCCTCTACCAGGGAAGTCCTACTCATTGCCTTCTCGTGGCATTACTGTTGTTTACGAAAATAAGAGGACGAAAAGCGAATGTCCGGCGCTTTAACCGGATTCCAAAACAATGATTCACATGGACTCCAGTATCCTGAAGGAACAAATAGCGTTTAAACCAATCGTTGGTCACCGGCTACCATGAGACTGCATCTCCTTACAATACTCCACTGCCTTGTGGATCAGACCTTTAGGTCAAAGGCTCGGAGTGTGGCCGCCTAAGAAAACCATCTACTTCGGTTTTTGCACCCGGGCAGTATCACAACCCTCACACACATCAAATGAGATTTGTGTGGCACATATGTATTTGGTGCCTCCTTGTACCACTATCTATGTGTTAAAATAATAATAATAATAATGAGTTTCAAATTATCTCAGTTTTGTTTAGAATATCAATTATCCTTTGACTAACATTCAATGTTTCCACTTATATCAATATATTTTAGGAAACAGAAAATAGAATATTGAAATTATTATTTGAATCTGAAGGTAATATATTAGATAATGAAGATTTAATTAATACATTAAATGAATCTAAAATAAAATCAAGTGAAATTACAAAACGTTTAAATGAAGCAACATTAACAGAACAAAAAATTACAATAGCACGTTCCAAATATTTACCAATTGCTACACGTGGTTCTGTTATGTATTTTGTAATAACATCTATGGCTGAAATTGATCCAATGTATCAATTTTCATTGAAATATTTCAAAAATGTAAGTGAATTGTTATGTAATTAATTACTTTGAGTGATTTATAATGATATTGTTTAGCACAATTGATTGATCATTGGGTGGTGATCAATGTCATATGTGTCAAGTCCTTATTAGGGCAGATCGAATGCTATCGACCAAGTTGTAATGTGGTCCCTAGTCTAGGTGACTCAACATTGAATGAACTATGTTGAGATAAGATGATGGTTGGAGGTAGTCAATAGGAAACCCTGGACATAGGTTTCATGTTACTTGGCACTCGTCAGTAAGGTGTACTTGTATTCTTGAGGGAACTGGTGCTCCTCGTGACCGAACTTTTGTAGGACTGAGATGTATTCACGATTGATTGGTCACTGAGTGATGATCAATGTCATGTGTGTCAAGTCCTTCTAAGTGCAGATCAAATGCTATCGACCAAGTTGTAATGTGGTCACTAGTCTAGGTGACTCAACATTGAATGAACTATGTTGAGGTAAGATGGTGACAAAGGGTCAAATCCGTCGGAGAGCACCAGTTCCCTCAAGATTACAGGTACATCTTGCCGAAGAGTGCCAAATAGCACGAAACCCGGGTCCAGGGTTTCCTGTCGACTAGTGCCCGCAGTGTCGAGTCACCTAGACTGGTGGCCACATTGCAACTTGGTCGATAGCATTCGATCTGCACTAAGAAGGAAATTGACACACAGGACATTGATCATCACTCAGTGATTAATCAATTGTGAAGTGAAAGTTCTCAATGTACTCAAACGATTCTTTTAAAATCGTTTCAAGAAGTACGTCTGAACAGGGTTCAAATGGAATTCTAATAAAAATAATATTACTATAAATAATCCTATCATACAAATTAAAATAGCACTCGTCAGCATGATGTACCAAATAGCACGAAATTGGGGTCCAAGGTTTCCTGTTGATTACTTTCAACCACCATCCTATCTCGATACCATTATCAGTAATATGAGATTGTAAACATTGAGTGGCGATATAGATTCAAACCTCGCAGGGATTAACAGTTCTTTTAAGATTATGGATATACTTTGACAATGAGTATTGAAGTGTATGAAAGTGAAATCAAGAAGAATTTTCTGTCAGCTGTATACAACCATCTTACACTGATGGAACGAAGTGCACTGGAATAATAAATCTCATGATGTAATCGAATCTGTCATAGAGTAACAAGAACGTCTTTGTTTTTTGAGAAATATGATAGGAAAATATGCTTCGTTTTTAGTCGTAATAAAAGCGGATACATCTGATATTGTATTCTAATGCAAAATCATTATTATTACTGTTAATTAGTTAGTAAACAATGTCATATACAATGAAGCTGTTTTACTTAGATCTCTAAACTCGAAAAACAATAGAGAATGTAATGAATGGTAATAGTTGAATTCATAAATCGATCTAAGCTAGATCACCATTGAAAACCTGAAAGCAGTATACAGCCGTTGCATCTTACAGCATTCTACATCCACGATCCCGCAAGTGGGACTTGGACCTAGAACCTTCAGTCTTCCAGGTTTTCAATGGTGATCTAGATTAGATCTAATCATGAATTCAACTACTAAAATTACTACAATCTCCATAAATCCTCATTGTAGTAATGAATTTATTAAATGAAATCGTTTCTGACATTCATTTTGTAACAATAAACTCGAGAACTTTTTAAATATAACTAATTAGAAAGAAAAAGTATTCTTAATGAAAGTTTAAATAATAAACTTGACAGATGGCGATTTTATACCTTATAGCAAAATGTGAGATTATAACCTAAACTGTCATATTCAACGTTAACACTGAACGAAGGAGGAAAATTCATAATCTACTTTATGATCAACAGCCTGGATTCTGTAAGGATCGATCATGTATCGACCAAATCGCAACACTACAGATCAGTGTGGAACAATCAATTGAATGGAATTCATCACTCTACATCAAATTCATTGACTACGAGAAAGCATTTACTAATGTGCACAGGACAACACTATGGAGGCCACTTCGACACTACGACGTAACCGAGAACATGGTCAACATCACACGGAATTTTTAGGATGAATTAAACTGCAAATTCGTTCATGGAGGACAGCTCACACACTCGTTCGAAGTAAAGGTCGGTGTCAGACAAGGTTGCTTACTCTTACCCTTTCTCTTTCTCCTGGTGATCGACTGAATTATAAAGACGTCGACATCGGGGGGAGAGCATGGGTCATAGTGGAAATGCAAGATTCTTCGATACAACACAGCATGCACCGATGGAATCACAAGTGACGGAGAATCCTTGGAAGATGTAGAGTCCTTTACATATCTGGTCATCATCAATGATGAACATGGTAGATCTGATGCAGATGTGAAGGCACGGATAGGCAAAGCAAGTGCATTATATCTACAATTGAAGAACATCTGCAACTCAAAACAACTGTCTCTCAACCAACATCAAAATCAGCATTTTCATTACAAATGTCAACATAGTTCTATTGTATGGGGTGGAAACTTGGACAACTACGAAAACCATCATCCAGAACATACAAGTGTTTATTAACAATTGTCTACACAAAATACTTCATATCCGTTGTCCAGATACTATCAACAACAACTCACTGTGTGAGAGAACGAATCAAAATCCAGCAGAGGAAGAAATCAGGAAGAATCGCTGTAAGTAGATAAGATACACATTGAAGAAGGCACTCGACTGTATCACAAGTCAAGCTCTCACCTAAAATCCTCAAAGGCAAAGAAGGAAAGGAAGACGAAAGAACACATTACAACGAGAAACAGAGATAGATATGAGTAGAAGGAACAACAATTGGATAGAACTAGAAAGAAAGGTTCAGGAAAAGTGGATGCCGGCGGCCTGCTTGAATATCTGGGCTACCTGTTCCTCCGATCTAGATATTTCATCAAGTTATCTGTTTTGTTGTTTGTTTTAGCACATCACTATGTCTATTGTGCGCATAACCTATTCAGGCGCGTTTATGAAAAGTTTACAACCTTTCGCTATACGGGATACAAAAAGGTACAATCAGCGACATCATGGTTGCTGGCAATATGCATTGAAACAAATGAACAGTAATCAAATGTGGATTACCGAACTTCTAACATCTAACTGGTCATCATTCAAAATTTATCGTCACAATCGATCAAGGTATAAGAAAAGGAAACTTGTTGAAATACTTTATGCTGAGAATTCTATGTTGTACCAAAAATATAATGTTGAATAAAGCTTCTAATAATAAAAAAAATAATAATAAGGACTGACTGGACTGGAAAATACTGATCAGTAACCAATCCCTCATAAACAGGTATAAACACGAAACACTTTATTTATAAATGTTTTTTGTTTATTTTTGTTTTTGATTCATATTGCAGAAGCTGGTATTGTGTTTCTAGACTCAAGTGAACGGGCTAGACGGACATAGGACTAATGAGGACGCTAGGCCGCTCATACCGCTCGGATGTCATTGGTTTGGCATAGTGCTAACATTGTATAAGTCGTATGTTGATTGGTGGATAAATCATGTGACAACAAGCGGGACATAAAATCATAACAGAACTCTTTTTTTTTCTTTTTTTTTTAGTTATTCAATACAACGATACAAAATTGTCCAAATGTCACTACATTAGATGAACGTATACAAATTTTAATCGATTCTATTACTATAGCAACATATAATAATATTTCACGTGGTTTATTTGAACGTGATAAATTAATTTTTTCATTTATGTTATGTATTGAAATATTAAAACAAATGAATCAAATTACAATGAATGAATGGTTGTATTTTTTATTAGGTATACCTAATAATAATAATAATAATAATAATAATAATATTATAACTAATACTAAACAACAATTAGAACAACCAATTCATACAAAAAATTGGTTAACTATAAAACAATGGAAACGTATTATTGATTTATCACAATATTTTCCAGAACAATTTCATACATTACCTAATGATATATGTAATTATTCAATTATGATTGATTTTAATCCAATAATGAAACAGTTACCAAGGGAACAACAAGAAGAAGAAGAAGAATTAGGTATTTATAAATTAACTCCTAAAAATTATAAAAATACATTACCACTTAGTAACTATAATGAAACATTAACATCATTTCAAAAATTATTACTGATATCAACATTTTATGAAGATCAAATTATTAAAGTAATAAGAGATTTTATATATTATAATCTTGGTAAAGAATTTATTGAAACACCATCATGTCATTTATCAATATTATATAAAGAAATCAATTCAATAACACCATTAATATTTATATTATCAAATGGTTCAGATCCAATGAATCAATTTCAAAAATTTATTAAAGAATATAATAATATAGAACATGTACATATTGTATCATTAGGACAAGGACAAGGTCCAAAAGCGGAGAAATTAATTCATGAAGCATGTAAATTAGGTGATTGGGTATTTTTACAGGTAATGAATGAAATTTTTTTTCAAAAAACAAATGATTTGATTAGAATGATATTGTTTGAATAGAAGGGGTGATTAAATGAAAACATGACATTAGTCACTAACCTTCTAGTTTGACTCTCAAATGCCCCTGGTACGATCAAGAGTAGGGAGAGTCCGTTCTCCCTCTCCAATTGCTCTCACATGGCCACGTGTATATAGCCTCTGTCAGGGAAGTCCTACTCACTGACTTCTCGTGGCATTACTGTTGTTTACGAAATTCAGAGGGTTGGTGGATATAGAGGATCTACCTAGGGGAGTTCAAAAACACTGATTTCAAACCAATGGTGCACATGGGATCCAGAATCCTGAAGTAACAAATGGCGTATGAACCAATCGCTGGTCAAAAGCTTCCGTGAGACTGCATCTCCTGACTTTGCTCCACTGTCTTGTGGATCAGACCTTTAGGTCGAGGACTCCCGGTGTGGCTACCTAGGAAAACCACCTGCTTCGATTTGGGCACCCGGTCAGTATTACAGCCCTCACATATATCAAATGAGATCTGTGTGGCACATATGTACTCGATGCCTCATTGTACCAATATCTATGTGTTAAAATAAATAAATAAATAAAAATGAACCTTCTAGTCTGAGCCATATTGGTAGATGCAGATTATTTGGTCAGGGTCCATCGGTGACTATCGTAACCAATGATTGGAGATTGTGGGTGACATGGCTCAGAATCGATCAAAATGGTGTAGGTGTATACACTCTTTGTCTTCCTTTAAAAAATGAGATTAAAATCGCTTCATATGTTTCTTTCTACGAACTAATTCTTTCTTCCTGTACTATGTCTTTATATACAATCTTTCTTTTATATATTACCATCATTGAATTAACCACTTCTATGAATTTGGTGTTCATCTTGTTGTGCTAATGAGGTATGATAACTTGGACCGATGCATGTATGTGCCTGATCCTACGTTGTAGCTGAATGACTATCTAACTTACTGCATTTTTGAGGACTATGTTGAATTGATTGAGTCTGTCAGTATGCAGAAGAAAGGACATATTAAACTTTTGTCCGTTATTCAGTGATTCTTGAATTTCGGTTTCATACCCAACCGTTGTTGCTACCTTGATGTGGTGGTCAAGCTTGCCTATCATAATGAACCAATAAAGCTATACTGGCTACAATAATCGTTCCGCAAGGTCCTACCATGCAAGACAGATCGACAAAAGAGCGGTAAGACTACAAGCAACAAACCCAAGATCCGAAGGCGAAGTCGTATTGCTGACTGTACAGAGGTGTGACAGCAGTAAGGTGTTTCCTTCAGACAGCCAGTATAACAGGGATTCTACCTTCCCACAAGGAGAGGTGGGGTTAGAAAAGGTTGACCCTAAAAATGCACACCTCGCCTTATCCCATGGATATCCGTCTTTGGCGGTAAGGTTTCAACAAGTACGGAGCTAACACGAAAATTACTCACAACAAGGTCGTGTATGACTGACCTCAAGCAGTTGTCCCGTGGGCACTGCGGTCACGCTCTCAGGTGACTAAGGCCACTTTTAATCCAATTTTCTTCTCAGGTACCTCCAGAAGAACCCTTTCACAGTGTGGACAACCGGGAAGTGATAACCACCCTCAGACCTCTAACAGCACCCATGATCACTGACTGACTTCAGTTTCATCTTGGCGACCAGTACGTAATGATCTGAGACTATATCACATTCTCTTTTGGTTCTCTTATCATCCATCGGATAGGTTTGAATACAAGCATTATCTACACTGTTATAAATACACTTTTATTCAAACTACCTTCTTTGGTGAGCATTAATCACAAACTTAGTAAACTGTAAGGATCTCAACAGTTTCTTGTAGGCAAGCATAGTTAAATCATCCAGGCAATGAGTTGTAACATTACTGAAAACTCTGATATTATAAAGCTGTAAAAAGGTTTTTTGGGAACAATACGTAGGATAATCTAAAATAAATGAATGTTTAAGGTGAATGGAGTCTGGCTCTCACTGATTATCCTGTCTGGGATGACAAAGGCAGCTTGATAACTCAGCCGTTCAACTTGGAACATTCAATAACACTGAAAATATTCATCTAATCTATAAATGTTTTCCATTATCTCGTGAAGTAATAAAATTTCTTCATTGTTGTTGGAGATGTTAGATCTTCAAAACTCACTTAGTAAATATCTTATTTTTTGTAATTCTATATTAAAAATTTGAATTTCTTGTTTTCACGCCAAAAGAGCTCATTTTGACCTTCATGTCGTATATCCCACTTGGGAGGATCTTAAGCGCTATTGGTCCGTTGTATCTTTTAGTATGCTATTTTGTAACACTTCCCAAGGACAATTTTATGCTTCATATATAAGTATGATTTGTGCCTATTGTTATTTGCTCATGATTCTGGCTGCTTGTGGAATATATTTCCCAGTTTCGAACATGGACTTCTCTCTCTAGTTAGTGTGGCTGGGACACATCAGAATAGCTGGCTTATTGGTCTTTAGTCACCGAGTTTTTGTTCCGTTCTCAAATTAGGTGAACTTGTAATCACTTCAAACAGCAACTGTTAACCAATATTTCTTACGTATCATATAAAAATTAATGTTCCTGTTTCATTAATAAAGTAGTTTTAGTTCCATAAGATGTTAATAATGAAATCATTTATAGAAGAATAAATATTTTTGTTTGAATTCAACCCTATCATGTTACGACCTGGAACTTTTGATTCAACTAAAAGGTATGTACTTTTCCCAATCAATGATAAGAGTGAAAAGATTGAGAGATGATTAGAAGGCTTCAACTTGGAAAATCAATTGATGATATACACAAATCATGAGTAATTATATATTTGTCCGATGTGAATTAAATAACGATATATCCATACACCATTTAGTGCTTCCAGCTTTTTCATGATGGTCTAGCTTTAATCGACTCATGAATTCAACTATTAAATTACTAAAACCTCGGCAACCCAACCCCCTTTCTTATATATATAGAACATCAACTTTTTCAAGTGTATAACTAATTTCCCCTAACTACCCACCTAATTTATGATTTCTCATCGACTGTTCAACCTTGAAATGACATACGAGCTGTTTGGTTTTTTGTACTGCATGTAGTATGCCTAGAATTATTCAGCCTATCATACCTAGTTCCTTTAGTTAATTCACAGTATTCATATATAAATATATATGATAGTAAACTCACAAAATGATAACTCATTCTAAGGTAAAATGATAAGTTACAAAAATGAACTACATGTTCTTCGTTTAGAATCCCCGTTCATGAAGCTATTACGAAAGAGGATATCACTAACACGGTACATTGTCTTAAGGAAGATACTTAAATTATCTGGACATTCAAGGATAAAAGAGTTCGTAATAAAGGAATTAATCAATGAAATATCTAAATTACACAGTGATTTAATCTTTGGATTCAGTCAGCTATTTAATTATACGCAGATTAATTATTCAACGTAAGCGTCCGTCGAAGCAAACGGAAAAAAACTAATGATCATTGTTTAGAAATATCAAGTGGAACCTATCCAAGCAGTTTACACCGATCAGTACGACTCATATCAACAAGTAATCATTATTGCATGGACTAATGTCATATCGTAGTTTAACAGGAACTAGTTGTCTTTTTTCTCTCGAGCCTATTCTCATACCAGTGAATGTTGCTCGTTGATGTAGATGGTAGTTAAGTATATGTGACATATGATCCAAATCACTTCAGTTAATGAATTGTTAGTAAGTATAAATTACTTATATCTATTGTTCTTCAGAAACAAAATAGTAAAAACTATGAGATGATGGAGAAGATTTGTAGCTCAGATGAATGATTTCGATGAAGTTTTGTTCTCTGAGCTGAATGGTTTGGTCAACTTAGCGAGTAAAACTCCATCGAAAGTAAAAACGATCTTCAATTTAACGTTGCCTTTCTTTGTTTGTTTTGTTTTATTCTGAAAGAATTGTCATTTAGCTGCTTCATGGATGATTCGATTAGAAGAAATAGTGAAACAACTTGCTGAAAATCCTAAATCAACACATACAGATTTTCGTTTATATTTAAGTTCAATGCCATCAAAATCATTTCCAATATCTGTATTACAAAATTCAGTAAAAGTAACTAATGAACCACCAAAAGGATTAAAAGCTAATCTTATTCGAGCATTGAATGATATATCAATGGAATCATTTAATACACATGGTATGTTTACAATGTTGGGAATGTGTTCCATTTACATATGACATAACTTTCTGCATAAGTCGATGTATATATTTTGAGAAATGATGGTGATGATGATGATGACCATATTTCACCTTTATATTTTTATTATGATTGATAAGCTAAATATGATCATGAATTGATGGAATACCTTCAACCATTAAACAGAATTGTATTAGCAGTAGTAATAATGATAGTAATACAAATAGTTGTGTAGTTTATGCTACCTATGTCTGTCGATGTAGGTAATATGCAACACCAATCGAAATTAGAAAACCTGGCAGAAGTGGGCCTTGGTACAGCCGAGAGTGGGGAGAGTCCGCTCTCCCTCTCCAATTGCTTTCACATGGCCACGCGTTTTCAGCCTCTTCCAGGGAAGTCCTACTCACTGTCTTTTTTCACCGTCGAGGTGTTGTTTACGAAAATGAGAGGACGAAAAGAGAACGTCCGGCACTTTAACTGGGTTGGTGAATACGGACAGTCCACCTAGGGGAGTTGGAAAATCCTCATTCCAAACCAATGGTGCACATGGGTTCCAGTATCCTGAAGGAACAAATGGTGTATGAACCAATCGTTGGTCACCGGCTTCCATGAGACTGTATCTCCTGACGTTGCTCCACTGCCTTGTGGATCAGACCTTTAGATCGAAGGCTCCGGGTGTGGCCGCCTAACAAAATCACCTGTTTCGATTTGGGCACCCGGGCAGTATCACAGCCTTAACGCATATCAAATGAGACTTATGTGGTGCATATATATTTGGTACCTCCTTGTACCAATATCTATGTGTTAAAATAAAGAAAGAAAGAAGATCAAGTTGAAAAGAACAGAAGGGAAAATAGAAAAAAAATTGTGAACTAGAAGAATCATAGACAATGTGAAGGATAATTGATGAAAACTTGCAGATGAAGTATTCAGTGCATGGTTCTCATATCTTACCTGTAGTTTTGTTTTAATATACATTAATTGTCCCTATTCGTGTTCTCGTTCATTACAGTAATATTAATAGTAATTAGGAGTCGTAGTATAGTGTATGCTACTTATGTTGACAGATATAAGTAGTAGGTAGCACCAATCGAAAGTGAAATGCATGTCATTAGAAGATTGAAAAGATTCAGTTGAGCAGAACAGAAAGAGAAACAGAAAGTTATTGTAATAACAGAATATTTGAAAGAATCATGAAATACGTAAAGGACAAATGATTGAAGATGTGTAAATTATGTATTTTGGTGTACGGTTTTCATACTTTATGAAAACACTCTATAATTGTAAATTCATTTTGTATTATTTAATTGAATCTTCCCATTGATATTTAGCATTGCAGTGGATCAATCTCTTATCGAAATACGTGTATACTGTATGGATTGCCTTGACATCACCTTAATTCACAAGCATTATAAACCAAGATGAATAGTGGTTAGCAGTGGAATCCAGGTTGACGCGCGTTTTTTCCTATTCGAGATTCGTCAGCCGGATGCGCCCGCATCTCAGAGTTGGTGTCTACTCCGGGATTCGATCTCAGTGCCCCTGTGGATGCAAGCACACCCAGCTGACTAGTCCCGAATAGGACGAAATACGCATCAAACTGAATTCCACTGCTAGCCACTATCCGTTTTTGCTTATAGCTCTGTAACTGTGTATCAAATAATAAACTGCTTCTCTCCACCTGAGTTCTTGTTCACTACATTAGTAGCACCAATAGTAGTAGTCACTTTCTAATACCAACTTCAGTTTTTATATAATGTTACGTCATTTATTGATTCTATATTATACAATAATTTTGGTGGAGTTTTGTTCTCTGAGCTGGATGGTTTGGTCGGAGAACAAAACTCCACCGAAATCATCCACCTGAGCTACAAATCTTCTCCACCATCTCATTATACAATAATGAATAGATTGTTAACATTAGTGCTATAACTTCCGCCCTGTGTCCTATTAATATATAACGTAATGATACTGCCAATTAGAGAAAATTGAATTATCGACCGGACGAATGACGTATAAAACACGTACGAGCAGCCTGGAGTCCTTATCGGTCCTGCTGACTGCCTAGCCCAACCTGTTAAGTCCAGAACGCAAGTCACAGCCTCTACGATACGAATCATTTATTTCAAACATACTGGGTTTATATACCAACCAGACAGACCACATCATACCATAAAATAAAAATAACATTTGTACAAGATTGGCTGTGAATGTGGGAGGTAGTGATTAACAGACAGGTCATAACTCAAGAATGGTAAATCGTAAAATTATAGTTCATAGATCAAACTGAAGCTCATAATAAGAGGTATATGAATATGTATAATTTAGTTATTTAACAATTATAGAATATTTTAATCAGTGAAATTTCTAAAATCTCCACAAAACCCATTCTGATAAGAATCATCTGCTCACTAGTGATTGACTTCAAGAGATACTCCTGGAGTTCTTGTGAGAAGCCGTTACCAGTGGACTTCAACCAGGTCTGTTGTGCAAAATCACCTCACTGAAAACAATGGTGTACGATAGTGCAACTTCGTGGATTGGTTGAAGTTAGATATTAACACCGCCGAATGCCGGCTTAGTGGTCTAGTCGGTTAAGCGCCTGTCACGAAACTGATAGGTCCTGGGTTCGAATCTCGTGGGGTACGAGATCGTGGGTGCGCACTGCTCAGGAGTCCCACACTAGGACGAAACGGCCATCCAGTGCTCCCAGGTTTCTCATCAAGGTCTAGCTACAATTGACTCGTGATTCTTATCGGGATATAACAGTTAGTAAATGTTAGATAATAATGAAATAATCTAACATACTTACTTATCATGTTTTGTTTTTTTGTTTTCTTCTCTAAATATTATTGATACAGTGTTAAGAAATGATTGGCGTAAATTAGTATTTGGCATTTGTTTCTTTCATTCAATTATATTGGAAAGAAAAAAATTTGGACCACTTGGATGGAATATTAATTATGATTTTAATGATTCGGATCGTGAATGTGCATTATTAAATTTAGAAATGTTCTGTCATGAATCTTATATACCATGGGATGCTTTAACGTATATTACAGCTGAAGTTAGTAAAAGTTGTTGTTTCACCTCTCCCCCCCCACACACACTTTTTTTTACATATAATATACTTATCTAAAGGACATAGAATGATATGACTTAATTACTTTATCTTTGTTACTAAGTATTTTCAATTTCCGGTTGTTGCCATGCAGGAGTGGAATTAATCAATATCTTTTTTTTCTCGGTATATGTACATTCTGATCGAATTAGTTAGTTTAGTTTAAGTTTAGTTTTAAGTTGAATTGTGACTAGCACCGTAACCCAAAAATGGGCGTTTCATCTTGTTTGAAACTTATCAAATGAATATACCTATAACCGAATATTGCTGTTCACAATAATATTTGAATACAGTACTATTCTCTTTAAATACTAACGAGATATTCATTGAAATATTGAGGTAACTTAAACATTAACATTGATAAGTCTTGCGGATTGAATGCTATTTTCGTCTCCTAAGCTATTCTGTAACCCCCAAGCTAGAACTATACAGCGACCTGAACATGAAAGAGAAGACTCAAGCTATGCGAGAAGTAGTTAACTCCAAAGTTCATTTTAATACAGAAAATACAGGATTTTTATAATATTTTAAATGTCCTTGGGTTGCTAGAAGATTCTGGAAATGCTACTAAACATAGTAACAGTGTAGCAACCAGCCAATCAGAACCTCTCACAATTGATCTGCACTAATAAGGACTAGACAAGCATGACATCGATCACCACCCAGTGATCAATCAATTGTGATTACATCTCAATCCTACAGGAAGTTAGTCACAGTTCGGATAGCTCAGTGGTAACGTCTCTGGCTGTGAAGCTGGGTGACACGAGATCGAATCCGCCAGGGAGCACCAGTTCCCTCAAGATTACAGGCACGCCTTGTTGACGAGTGCCAAGTAGCACAAAGCCCGGGTCTGGGGTTTCCTGCTGACTACCTCCAACTACCATCTAAAATCAGGACCTCTACATGTGACGTTTCACCCCCCTAATATTTTCGACAAAAACTTCAAGTGAACACTAATTGGACGAAACGCTTTTTAGTGTTCCCTGATGCTTGATTATCTTTTGCAAGCAATTTTCTGGATCACCTCAACAACATGTCCAGTAAGTGTAAACCAATAGAAATCTTAATAGAAATAGATCTTTGACAAAAGTATTATTTTCACATTTCTTATTCTAGATTACATATGGTGGACGTGTCACTGATTTCTGGGATCAAAGATGTTTACGTACAATACTTCAACGTTTCTTTCATCCATCTACATTAAAATCAGATTATGTTTATTCATCATCTGGTATTTATTATCCACCAACTAAAGAAACTTTAATAGAATATATGGAATATGTATCTAGTCTTCCATTTAGTTCAGGACCTGAATTATTTGGTATGAATGAAAATGCTAATTTAGTATATCAGGTAATAAGTGTTCTCATACAAAAGTATACATGTAGTTTAATATTAATATATTGCTTTATAATAATCACTAGTGATTAACAAGTAGTGACAGTACAGTCCTACAAGCGGTTACTGACGATGATACTGTATGATACAGATATTGAAATCCTACACAAATCATAAGTCCCATCAGAATTACAGATGTATGATTTATTAATGATTATCAATTAGCACGAATCTTAGATCAAGTAGGATTTACTGTGAATCTACTTTACCCCCGAACTAATAAACGAAATGTTAAACTGCGATTTCATCATTTGAACATTGTTATTACTAAAGAGGATTTCGAATTATGACTTTATTTAGATGAAAATACTTCAAAAAGGTTTTGACATTTATAAAGAATGAATAACAGATGAAAGCTTGTACATTAATAAACAAACTAGAACACTAAAAGCTACTTTATGACAACTGTTGATTAATTTAATAATTGAATTCATGAGTCGATTAAAGCTAGAGCACTGTGGAAAGCCTAGAAACATTGGATGACCGCTTCGCTCCAGTATGGGATTACTCAACAGTGCACATTCACGACTCTGCTCTCGGAATTCGAACTCAAGACTTTCGATCTCTCACAAAAACTCTTAACCTCTAGATCATAGAGCCATCATCCAAAGGTGTTAATTAACAAATAAATATCACAATTAATTATGTGAATGATTTGATTCTACATATACATTAATTAATCTATGCTACTATTGGATGAATGATTAATTTGTATTTGATCGTAGCCAGAGACATAATTTTCTCACTGTTCTATAGTTACGCATATACATACTATCATTTCTTACATGATGAATGACTTCTACATCACAATATTGGCGTTCATGAACTTATATCCATTCTTAAACCTTTCCTTTAATTATGAGTTAAGTATTACTACTACCTTTTTTTTATTTTTCAACCTTTCTTTGAATCAAATTTCTCATTTTCAGATTCTGATACTGTTTCTAATCATTTCTCTCGTCTATTTCTCATCTTATCAAGTTCGTCTCATATTGTAGTAATGTGAATTATCGAAACTGAAACTCATACATATTAATACGTGATTCAATCTTGTCGATAACTTTTCTTTACGGGTCATGTTACACCATACTACTTAATAATATTCAGTAGTTATGTGTATTCCACTAATATTATTATTCAATATTATGATCGGTTATATAAATGCTAACCATTTGTACATTTATTTCAATGTTTCAGTTTGTTTTACTATATGTAATAGCATTTCTTCGCCCCCCCCCTTTTAGGTTATTTCATCGATGTTATGTGTGACACCCCTTGATATTATTTTCATTTAACAACTGAATTTCCAGAGATGTTTTGATCTATGTTGATATTCGTTACATTTCTTGCTTGATACAATAATGTACTGTCTTCTGATTTGTAGTCAGTTTCGTGAATTTATCAATATTTTGTCCCGTTTTAATAATCCACTTTCATTTTGACTAACCTTATGACAGTCTAACGGTTACCTTAATATCTCATGATTTGAGGCTTGAAAATTATCAGTATTTACGTTATGCTTCATATTCATAACATATTTTCAGATAAATCTCGTCATTCAATAGTGAACTTCATACATAACTCGGGTTTTGGATTAGAGAGCTTAAAGATGTTCTGCAGTGATGGTACATAATTTCTTGAAGTCACTAACTTCTAGTCTGAACCATGTTGGTGGATTCAGACTACTTGGTTGGAGTCCGCGTGACTACCGTACACAATGGCTGGAGACTGTGGGTGATATGGCTCAGAATCGATCACAATGGCTTAGATGTATACACTCTTTGTCTTCTTTTAAACTATGAAATTGCATTATATCTTTGTTTCTACCAACTAATTCCTTCTTCCTGTGCTATATTTAATTAATTAAAAACATCAACATTGGTACAAGGAGGCACCGAATAGATATGAGCCACACAAATCATTCGATTTGTGTAAAGGCTGGGATACTTTTCGGCTGCTCAAACCGAAACAGGAGGTTTTCTTAGGGGGCCACACCCATAGCCTCCAACCTAAAGGTCTGATCAACAAGGCAGTGGAGCAATGTAAGGGGGTGCAGTCTTATGGTAGTCGGTGACCAACAATAGGTTCATAGGCTATTTGTTCCATCAGGATAATGGATCCCATGTACACCAATGGCTTGGAATCATGGTTTTCCAACTCACCTAGGTGGACTCTCGATGTCCACTAGAGGGTTAAAGTTCCGGACATTTGCTTTTCGTCCTCTCAATTTCTTAAACAACAGTAATGCCACGAGAAGTCAATGAGTAGGACTTCCGTGTCAGTTGCTTGATACACGATCTTTCTTTTATATATTACTACCATTGAAGTAACTGCTTCTATGAATTTGGTGTTCATTTTGTTGTGCTAATGAAGTATAACAACTTGGACCGATGCATATATGTGCCCGATGCTACATTGTAGCTGACTGGCTGACTGAGTCAATGTTCACTCTACATTGTCAACATAAACAATTAACATTATAGTTTATAATTCTGTTTCTTTTTGTTTTCTATTTTCAATAAATTATTAATAAAAGCTTCAAGAAACAAATAATCTATTATCTGTTATTCTTAATGTTCAACCACGTACAAATACAATGAGTACAGGGAAAACAAATGATGATATGGTTTATGAACAAGCTGATTCAATATTGAAAAAATTACCAGAAAAAATTAATATTGAAGATGCACGTCCAGATTTATTTGATACGGATAGTAAAGGTCGGATAGATTCATTGACTACTGTACTTACTCAAGAAATTGATCGATTTAACAAACTATTAAAAATTATCAAAGTACGTATATATATATATATATATATATATAAGTTGAATAATTATAATTGATATGATAAGCAAAGATGGATAGTGTCTAGCGGTGAAATCCAGTTCGATGCGTGTTTCATCCTATTTAGGACTCGTCAGCCAGATGTACCTGCATCTCCGGGTTGATGTTCACTCTGGGACTCGAACCCAATACCGTTCGCTTCAAATGCTTTAGGACTCAGTAGCTAAGTGGATAACGCGAACGGTATTGAGTTCGAGACCCTTTACGAGTGAATACCAACTCTAAGATACAGGTACATCCAGCTGACCAGTTCCAAATAAGATGAGACCTGTGTCCTGGATTTCATTGCTAGCTATTATCTATCTTTACTTATAAAGCTTGTGACTTCGGGCGATATCGAGGCAGTCCTCACAGGATGCACAAATACCAACAAGAGAATGATCAATTGCAGTCCTGAATAACAATGGGAAGATATAAGTAAACAACACCAAGTGAATATAACTTCACGCCATTGCACAACCAAGTGGGTATCAAGACCAAGTAGCTAAGTGGATAAAGTGATGGCGTTCGAAGCGAACGGTACTGGGCTGGAGTGCCAGAGTAAACATCAACTCTGAGATGCAGATACATCCAGCTGACGAGTCCCAAAGAGGATGAAACACGCGTCGAACTGGATTCCACTGCTAGTCACTATTCATCTTTGCTTAGAGCTAACAATACAGTCTAAAGTTACAAATTTGACTATATATTTTGACTTTAATTCAATTAATGAAGCTTTCTTGTAATATATTGAGTTACACTGTACTTACTTCCTTAGCTTTCTTATAATATAAGTAACTTTGAATAACAGATAGGTAGTTCATTTATGACATATTCTGTTCATCAATTAAGGATCAACTTGTTAAACTAATATTTCCTTCATACATTTAAGCTTTGCGGAGAAGAGGATATATTTATATAAAATTGAATTGACCAGCTTCATGATCCCAACTGTCATTACCTCCACATTAAAAGTTTGTTTTAAACAACAAATCATAAAAATCAACTAATCAAATCAACAAGATATGTTTAATTCCACAGAAATGTCCTTATGGAACAAGATGAATTACAATAAAAGTATTACAGTTAAAACATTCAACTTTCAACTAATGATCTACATTGTTCAAAATTCACTCCAACTAGTTCTATGTGAACAGTGGCACATGAACAAACAAACATATAAAGTATGACTCCAGTTCTGAGTACATGATGGCGTACTTAGTTACCAAGTCGTTGACTATTAGTTAGGTACTAATCTGTTCCGATCTATAAATATAGTTGTGGCCATTGTTTCATATTTCATTCATTGATAATAATTTTTTATTGTAGATTAATATCATGAATGGATCAATGTTAGATCACCATTGAAAACCTGAAAGACTAAAAGTACTTGATTCGAGTCCCGCATGCGGTATTGTGGATTCGCACTGCTAAGGAGTTCCATATTAGAATGAAACGACTATCCAATGCTTCTAGGTTTTCAATGGTAATCCAACATTGACTCATTCATAATGTTTATCTAAACTCACCAATCTCCACAATCCTATACTGATAGTAGTGTTTTTTATTCTTTAGAATTCTTTGAAACAACTTCAAAAAGCAATTAAAGGTTTTATTGTTATGTCAGAAGATTTGGAAGGTGTATACACGGCATTTATACAAAATTCTGTACCAGAAATTTGGTCATCTAAATCATATCCAAGTTTAAAACCATTAGGTAGTTGGATAAAAGATTTAGTACTACGTTGTGATTTTATTAACACATGGATGATTAGAGGAAAACCTCTTTCATTTTGGATATCTGGATTCTTTTTTCCTCAAGGTAAATATATTTTTTTTGTTCTTTCAGTGGAGTTGTAACTGAATGTATCCATGTATGTGTGTGTGAAACTAAAATATAGAATATATATATGGATTTCAATAGTTGAAGCTTGACCACCACAGAAAACCTGGGTCACTTGTGAGATAGTAACTCACTGATGACAATGGTGGATGCGTCGCTCATTTTCGCGGATTAGTTGAAGTTAGACACAAACATTATTGGATATCGGCTGGCTCAGTGGTCTAGACGTTAAGCATCCACGCGTGAGACTGATGCGTCCTGGGTTCGAGTCCCGCGGGGCGCGGTCGTGGATGTGCATTGCTAAGGAGTTCCACAATAGGAAGAACAGCTGTCCAGTGCTTTCAGGTCTAACTTCAATTGACTCATGATCTCAACTATTGAAATTACCACAATCTCCACAAAACCCCTTCTGATATATATGGATCATAAAAATGTATGCTAAATTGATTTATATTGATCAGAAATGTTAGGTTAATGCAATTATTCAAAAACACTTCCGTGAATTTATGTTTCAATCTTTTGTCTGAAAAATCTAGCTCAAACTGTTGTAGTCAAGAGATTAAACTCCTCAATTCAGGGTTCACATGATTACTTGTAGTCAATATTTGTTGATTCTATGTAATGTGACTTGAAATCTTTTATAACTGCGTAGATATGATCAATAATTTTTGGGCTTCATTTCAATTTTGCATTTCAATCTAATCTCAAGACTATCAGTTCCATGTTTAATTATTTCTATCATCGTCATCCATATTGCAGTTATTTTCTCTTGTCCTTATCTTTAGCTTTTCATTTGGTTAATTTCTTCATTTCTTATGCTAGTAATCACTATGGAAACCAAAATTGATCACTTTTAAAATCTATGAAATTGTCGTTACATATTGTGAATATTTTGACTGAATATTGCGTTGATTAGTCAGAACCGACTACCAAAATTTACCATATTGTAAGCAATTCAATATAACCTCAGCAATCTTACTTCCTTATGCCTGTTAACCCTTGTGGAGGAGCATAGGCCTCCCATTAGCACTCTCCATCCAACCCTGTCCTGGGCAATCTTTTCCAGTTGTTATTCATCCTTTTCATATCTGCTTCTATTTCCCGATGTAATGTGTTCTTTAGATTTCCTCTTTTCTGCTTAGCTTCAGGATTCCAAGATAGCGCTTGTCTCATGATGTAGTTTGATGATTTCCGTAATGTATGTCCTATCCATTTTCATCGTCTTTTGCTAATTTTCTCTTCAGTTGGAAGCTGGTTTATAACCTCAACAATCACTGGCATAGTATTAATCCATTTCAACAATCTCGTTTTGTTTGAATGTCATGTGAAAAAAAAGACTTACTGAAATGTTGTATGATAGAATTGATAATAAAAACGGCAAGTATATAACTCATAAGTAGTAGTATTTCATATAGGATTAATCTCTCCAAATTCTCAACATTTGTAAAGGTACTTTGATAGTGTAGTAGATAGTAGGGCGAACCCATCAATATCCATCATATGAAAGTATTTATTATCAGAAGGGAGTTTTATGGAGATTTTAGTAATTTAATTGTTGAATTCATGAGTCACTTAAAGCTAGACCACCATAGAAAACCTGAAAGTACTGAATGGCCGTCTCATCCTAGTATGGGACTCCTCAACAGTGAAAATCCACGATCCTGCTACCGGGATTCAAACCCAGAACCTTGATTTGTGCTTCTGGTTGCTTGTGGAATACACTTTCCCTCTCCTGAACCTCGACTTCTCTCTCTATTTAATGGGGATGGAATGTATCAGAATAGTTAACTTATTTGGTCATTGTATCACACAGTCTTCGTTCCGTTTGTAAATAAGTTGAACTCTTGATCACCACAAACATAGCAATTTACCTTTAAATTACAATTTCAATATTGAATACAACAGAATAATTACTGTAAATGAAAATCATGAAAGAAATAAACATTGACAAGTAGTATCTCTTAGTGCATTTATTATTCAGTACACATATACAAGATTCCACTCATTGTACTGCACAATTTATCATTGTTGGAGCTGTTTGACAAAGTGAATTAGTTTTACCGTAGTTTCTTGATTCAATGATTTCACAACACAATGATTACGTAAGAACTTTTATCATTATCTCGATAGATTGTTGATAACATCTAAAACCAACAAAAAGTGTATCAGTAATCTTCTCTACCATTTCGAGTATAAGTAATATTTTTATTTCAGTGGTTAAGATCATGAGTCAGTTGAAGCTAGACTATTATGGAAAACCTGGAAGCACTAGACGGCCGTTTCGTCCTAGTATTGAACTCCTCGGCACTGCGCATCGACAATCCCGCCTCGCGAGATTCGAATCCAGGGCCTATCAGTCTCGCGCCAGACGCTTAATCAACTAGACCACTGAGCCGGCCGGCATCCAACGGTGTTAATGTCTAAATTCAACCAATCTTCGAAGTTGCGCTACTGTACATCATTGTCTTCAGTGAGGTGACAACTCACAACAGACCTGGTTGAGCTCCACTGGTAACGAATTCTCACTAGAACTCCAGGAGTGTCTCCTGAAGTCAGTCACTAGTGAGCAGGTGATTATTATTATCAGAATGGGTTTTGTGGAATTGTTTTCCTTCTGATGAGGAATATCGTAAAAATATAATGAAAAGTTGAGATTAAAATTATATATAATGCGCAAAAATGTCCCCAAACAATGCTTCATCTGAATGAACCCGGTTTAATATACTTCATTTTGATGGAGTTTTGTTCTTTAAGCTGGATGGTTCGATCGTGCTCAGAGAACAAAACTCCATCAAAATCATCCACCTGAGCTACAAATCTTCTCCACCATCTTAAATATACTTCAGTTAGGAGTTTTTCATTTTCAAGAAGTTCTATAATTTAATTCATAACTTGAAAGCTGTTCTTTTAGAAGGTATTCAACAACTAAAGCTTACAAAGATGGGATTAAATATATGAAATAAGAAGTTTTGCGCAGAAATGCGAAACGATTTTAGCAAAGCATCATGATCTAATGTATATGATCACAATGATTAGAAAACCAAGCTGTTCAGAAAGATTTTCTACAGGGATGTGACTAGTTTTTTGTTGAATTGACTATTGATTTACTTGAAATCGCTATAATTTAGCTTTGTAGTGTTGAAGGAGGCTTGTAGAGATTGTTCTTACTCGTCATAAAACGGATTTCATTAGTGGTTTACTTCGAGGTGAATTTATGAAGTTCTTAAATGATTTGTGTCAATCGATCGCAATTTTCATAATGAACAATACTACTATTAGTGTGAGGGATTTCGTGGAGATTGCTGAATTTTATAGTTTTACATCACAAACTGACCTTAGTTAAACAGTTATTCGAATCCAGGACCTATCAGTGGATGCGCACTGCTGAGGAGTCCCATATGAAGTAAGATGAAACGGCTGTTCAGTGCTTCCAGGATTTAAATAATGGTCTAGCTTCAACTGACTCATGACCTTAACCATTGAAATTACTATAATATCCACAAGACCCATCTGACATTAATATTTTTATCTTGAACATGAAGAGAATAATAATGGTTCCACTCCCCCCCCAAAGTATACATAAGACTAACTGAAAAATCAGATCATTTACATAATCCTGTCTTAGTAACATGCATAATACATAATGATATAAACAAATAAATCGGCGAGACAATAATTTATGAATGAACCAATCAGATTTAAAGATAAAAGGTCTCGAATTTCAGCGCAAAATTCATACACTCATTTGACTAAATATTATTTCGACATTATAGCTGATATTCATTTCGTAATGAAAATCCTAAATCTAATTCTTAATCTTAACCATGAATTGTAAATCATAATTCTAATTCCCTATACTGGTTTGTAACCCGAGGTGAACATTTTCAAGATCATTTTGGTATTGCTCAAAGGTTATTCATAAATTATTATTCAAACTAATCTTCAATATTCCTATTGTTCAGTACCATTGAAAAGAATGAGAACACAAGTGGAGAAGATCGAATGTATTTTAGTGTAAAATTACAGAATCTCTTAGTAAACTGTGAAAATCATACAGTAAATACTACATTTGCAAAATATCCCTTAATTGTTTCAGACTTGTTTGATCCTTTGTCTCTACACCAATCACTCTCGGTTCTCGTTCTCTTCTTTTCGATCTTCTTAACCTTTTGCCTCCAGGTATATTTCACATATGATTGATGGATGATACATACTACTTATATCTGTCGACATCAGTAGCATACACCATAACATGTTGTTTTTTTTCACAACTTCTTGAGTTTATTTTAATCGATTCATATTTGAACTGACATAATGATGATATTAGTAAATGTAAAATTTCATTCTAGCAATATTTGTTATCATTAATTCACAAATTACAAGTTCAATCCATCAACTTTGTTTAAATCGACCAAAGTAGTATATATCTACTCCTATAAAATTTGGCTATAATTTAAAGTCCAGTTCACAAACATATATCTTTTTAATAGTTAAGATAATGAGCACTGGATGGTCATTTCGTCCTATAATAGGACTCCTCATCAATGTGCATCCACTACTCATGATTTCAACTATTAAAATTACTATAATAACCACAAAAACTCCCTCTGATATTAATCAACATAAGCTCACTAGTGACTGGCTTCAAGAGATATTTCCTAAAGCTCTAGTGAGAAGTAATAACCAGTGGAATTCATTCGGATCTGTTATGAGATAGCAACTCACTGAAGACAATGATGGATGTGTCGCTCAATTTTGTGGACTAGTTGAAGTTAGACATTAACATTATTGGATGCCGGCTCAATGAGACTGATGAGTCCTGGGTTCGAATCTCTCAAGGCGAGGTCATAGATGTACACTGCTGAGAAGTCCCACAATAAAACAAAATGGCCGTCCAGTGCTTCTAGGTCTAGCTTTAATTGACTCATGATCTCAACTATTGAAATTATTACAATCTCAAAAAAAACCTGATAATAATCATCCGTTCACTGGTGACTGACTTCAAGAGATATTTCCTGTGGTTCTAGTGAGAAGCCGTGAACAATGGAGTTCAATCAGGTCTGTTGTGAGATATCAACTCACTGAAGATAATGGTGTACGGTGGTACAACTTCATGGATTGGTTGAAGTTAGACATTAACACTATTGGATACCGGCTGTCTCAGTGGTCTAGTGGTTAGTCATTCGTGCATGAGACTGATGGGTCCTGTGTTCGAATCTCTCAAGGCGGGGTCGCAGATATACACTGCTGAGGAATAAATGTCAAATGTAACATACATATTATTTCATTTTCATTTATTCTAGGTTTTCTAACTGGAATTTTACAAAATTATGCACGAAAATATAATTATCCAATTGATCATTTAACATTTCATTTCAATGTTTTACCATATTATCGTAATCAAGAAGAAATTTCTATAGCTATATCAAAACTTCGTTTAGGTGAAATATTAGAAGTTGATAAAATGATAAATAAACCAAAAGATGGTGTACTTGTACATGGATTATTTATGGATGGTTTCAGGTAAATATTTATAATATGATCTTTCTTAACTGTTTAGATCTTCCTACTATTGATGTTTAAGACTAGAATTGATCAGGTCTTTGCTTAGAATGTTTATGACTTAAGACAATATCGAAGAGGTGAGACTATAGTTTATGAATGATGTTTGAATGAATCTTAAATGAACTTGAGAAATCTTAGCCAATCAGCGAACAGTCAGTACAAAGTACAAATATGTTATACAAAACCAAAGAAATAAAGTGGATACATTTCTTAAACGTGGTTTAAAAACTTGTCAAGGTTAGAAAGAGGTTCAGAGATTCTAAAATCGTAATGCATGCAGTAGAGGAAATCATCCATATGGCTACAGAATAGTCGACCTCTGGAGCCATAATAAAGTCTCACATACTCTTTCAGCCTTGACCACATAACTTCAATATTGTTTGTGTGCACTCCGGTTGTTGCGTGGATAACAACACGATGCACATAACCAAGTCTATGTAGGAGTCTGTACGCTCTCCAATCATCCGTATATATTGTACTACCTGGTTGCAGCCAGTGTTACTGGTGCTTTTATTATCCAGTTCGCAATAATTGTCATAATTTGCCTTAGTTAGGAAGTATATATAGGGTTTTCATCACGAACTGACATCAACTATAATGCTATAAATTTATTTAGCCAAATGGATGAAAGGCTTTCGCGTTAAAATCCGAGATCTATTATCTTATACCTGATTGATTCGTCCACAAATTATAGTCTCGCCGCTTTATTTGTTATTTGTACAAAATTCCCTATGAACCGATCGTACGTTAGCAATAAGTACTGAAGTTGGCGCCATGACCTTGAAACCTCTCAAACGCTTCTGATTGGCTCGTCCATAGATGAGAGTCTCGCCATCGAGGCAATACACACAGGATATACATATACCAATAAGATACTGATCAATCGCATTCCTTAACATCAGGTGGAAGATAAAAACATCACAAAATGAATTTAAACTTCACCCCGTTGCACAAGTAAGTGGCTATCAAAACTCAATAACTGAATGGGTAACGTGATAGTGTTTAAAGCGAATGGTACTGGGTTTGAGTCCCGGAATGGACATCAACTCTGCAATGCAGATACATCCATCTTACAAGTCCCAAGTTAGATGGAATGCGCGTCCTGGATCCCACTGCTAGCCATCATCCGTCCTTCTAATGATTTCTTCTTAATTGTTGAAGAAACTATGAATATTAATACGAAACGATAATCTCATTTAATACAAAAGACAAAAGTTGAATTTGGCATATGTCAAAATGGAATGTGTAATAAAATCGTCAGAGATAACTAGCCTAGTTGATTATTTTACTAGCCCTAATCATTAAGCTTGATTTATTTATGTTGTTTTTTAGTATCCATGTTAGTATTGACTTTCGCTTAGTTATCCACAGTAGACTGATATCATGGATTTGTCTAATGATATTCAATTAGTTGCAATTCACTGAATGATCACTAGATCAACGTCCATTTTGATATTTTTTTAATAATACAAAACGATAGCCATCTAAACGTATTCAGCCAGTGAGTCAGCTACAACGTAGGACCAGGCACATATATGCATTGGTCCAAGTTGCCATACCTCGTTAACACAACAAGATGGACACCGAATTCATTAAAATAGTTAATTCAGAGGTGGTAATACATAAAAGAAAGATTGTATATAAGGACATAGTATAGGAAGAAAGAATTAGGTCGTAGAAAGAAAGACATGAAGCGATTTTAACCTCTTTGTTTAAGAGAAGACAGAGAGTGTATACACCGACGCCATTGTGATCGATTCTGAACCATGTCACCAAGAGTCTCCAACCATTGGTTACGACAGTCACGCGGACCCCAGTCAAGTAGTCTGCATCTATCAATATGGCTCAGACCAGAAGTTAGTGTCTTCAAGCACTGGTGCCACGTTTTGGTTTGACCGCCCATAATTTTCTCCCAACCATCCCGAACACCGGTTAGCATTGCACGTCGTGGTAATCGGTGTTCGGGCATACGTAACACGTGGCCCAACCATCTCAGTCGATGAAGATTCACAACCTCATCAACTAAACGTATTACTGTAACTAAGAGGAAATAATCTATCATCAAAAGGTTAATACAAATGATATATGCTAAACTTTCAAAATAACAGTCAACCTAAACTTGTAGTCAACTTAGCTATGTGTTAAAATTCATAAACCTACCTCTAAAAACAATCTTAATTTGAACAAACAATCCCGTGTGCAAAATCACGGATGCGCGCTGCTGAAGAGTTCCGTATTAGAATAAAACAGAAGTCCAATACTTCCAGGTTCTCAATGGTTGTCTAGCATTGATCTATTCATGATCCCAACTAAAGGCAATAATTTAATTAGGGAGAGACATTGACAGTTACATAACAATGAACAGCTATTCGATGGTAATTTAGAACATTTTAAAAATACAAGTCAAGTCAAATTTATCCTACTTTTAAGTTTTTAATTTTATAGAGACGACAATCTGACAGAAATAAGAAAAAACAGCACTAAAATGAACAAAAAGAATAATATGTTATGATATAATCAGGTTTATCTTGTAACAACAATACAGGCATGTTCGGAATGGGATTCTCCCCCTCGAAATGCATCGACATACGAACTAATGACAGGGAATGAAGTAGTTGGGCGTGTCAACAGCTTCACTTATCTTGGAAGTCTCATCAGCCCTTGTGGTTTAGTGTGTGACGAAATCTCAGCACGGATACAGAAGGCTCGACTAGCTCTCGCCAACTTGCGTCATTTATGGCGTAGGCGAGATATCCGTCTATCAACCAAAGGACGGGTTTACTGCGCAGCAGTTCGTTCCGTCCTACTTTATGGCAGTGAAACATGGCCGGTAAGAGTAGAGGATATTCGTAGGTTACTAGTATTTGATCATATGTAACTTCGAAGCATTGCCCGTATATCCTGGGACCATCGAGTAAGTAATGCAGTTGTTAAGAAACGGGTACTAGGTAAGGATGGCAAATCGATTGATGAAGTAGTGAAACTTCATCAGTTGAGATGGCTGGGACACGTGTTACGTATGCCCAACGACCGACTGCCTCGACGTACGATGCTCAATGGTATAGGAGTAAGTTGTAAGAGAGCTAGGGGTGGCCAGACCAAAACATGGCACAAATCCATTAAGTTACTGATAAGTGGACTGAGTTATGTTGGTAGGTGTAGACTACCTAGTTGGGATCCGCGAGACGATAGCAACCGATGGTTAGAGACCTTGAATTACATGGCTCAAAATTGTTTGCAATAGCGCAGGTGTATCCACTTTTGTGTTCTCTCAAATTCTAATATTCTAAATTCTCCTTGTCTCTTTATTTTTCTCTTCCCAATTTCATTTCACTGGACTATACTCCTTGAATAACATCTCCAAACTCTAATGTTTCCGGTTACTGCTTATACTTTTACTACCTTTACCACTGCGGGATTTGAATTACTTACTTTACTTACTTACGCCTGTTACTCCCAATGGAGCATAGGCCGCTGACCAGCATTCTCCAACCCACTCTGTCCTGGGCCTTCTTTTCTAGTTCCATCCAATTCTTGTTCATTTTTCTCATGTCTATCTCCAATTCTCGGCGTAATGTGTTCTTTGGTCTTCCTCTTCTCCTTTGGCCTTGAGGATTCCATGTGAGGGCTTGTCTTGTGACGCAGTTGGGTGCTTTCCTCAATGTGTGTCCTATCCACTTCCAGCGCTTCTTCCTGATTTCTTCCTCCACTGGGATCTGGTTTGTTCTCTCCCACAGTACGTTGTTGCTAATAGTGTCCGGCCAATGGATCTGAAGTATTTTGCGTAAACAACTGTTAATAAACACCAGTATTTTCTGGATGATGGCTTTTGTAGTTCTCCAGGTTTCTGCCCCATACAGTAGAACTGTCTTGACATTTGTATTGAAAATCCTGACCTTGATGTTGGTTGACAGTTGGTTTGAGTTCCAGATGTTCCTCAGTTGTAAATATGCTGCTCTTGCTTTGCCGATCCGCGCCTTCACATCTGCATCAGATCCACCCTGTTCATCAATGATGCTGCCCAAATATGTAAAGGTTTTTACATCTTCCAAATCTTCTCCGTCAATTGTGATTGGATTGGTGCATTCTGTGTTGTATCGGAGAATCCTGCTTTTCCCTTTGTGTATGTTGAGACCTACTGCTGCTGAGGCTGCTGCCACACTGTTTGTCTTCTCCTGCATCTGCTGTTGCGTTTGGGATAGAAGGGCCAGATCGTCTGCGAAGTCTAGATCATCCAACTGCATCTTAGATGTCCATTGTATCCCGCGCTTCCCTTCAGACGTTGACGTCTTCATGATCCAGTCGATCACCAGGAGAAAGAGAAAGGGTGAGAGTAAGCAACCTTGCCTAACACCGGTCTTCACTTCGAATGACTTTGTCAACTGTCCTCCATGCACAATTTTGCAGTTTAATCCATCATATGAGTTCTGTATGATATTGACTATTTTCTGAGGCACGCCGTAGTGTCGAAGAAGTTTCCATAGTGTTGTTCTGTCCACGCTGTCAAATGCCTTTTCGTAGTCAATGAAGTTGATGTAGAGTGATGAATTCCATTCAATTGATTGTTCCACAATTATCCGTAGAGTTGCGATTTGGTCTGTACACGATCTATCCTTACGGAATCCTGCCTGTTGGTCTCGAAGTTGGGCGTCTACGCAGTCCTTCATCCTGTTTAACAATACCCTGTTGAAGACTTTTCCCGGTATTGAGAGAAGAGTGATGCCCCTGTAGTTATCACACTTGCTGAGATCGCCTTTCTTCGGTATTTTGATTAGAAGTCCTTCTTTCCAGTCTGTTGGTACTTGTTCCTCATCCCAAATCTTATTGAAGAGAATGTGGAGTATCCTTGCAGTTGCCGCTACGTCTGCTTTTAGTGCCTCAGCTGGGATGTTGTCCGGTCCTGCTGCTTTGCCACTCTTGATTTGTCTGATGGCCATGCTGATTTCTTCAATTGTTGGTGGGCCAACATTGATTGGGAGGTCCGTGGGTGCTGCTTCGATGTTGGGTGGGTTCAGTGGAGCTGGTCGATTCAACAGTTCTTTGAAGTGTTCTACCCACCTGTTTTGTTGCTCTTCAATGTTGGTGATTACCTTGCCTGCGTTGCTTTTCACTGGTCGTTCTGGTTTGTGGCGATTTCCAGAGAGTTTCTTTGTCGTGTCATACAATTGTCTCATGTTTCCTTCTCTTGCAGCCTTTTCCGCCGTCGTTGCTAAATCTTCCACATATTTACGTTTGTCGGTTCTGATGCTCCTCTTCACTTGTTTGTTTATTTCCGTGTATTCAGCTTGTGCCTTGGCTTTTTCTGCTCTTGTTCGACAGGTATTGATCGCTGCCTTCTTGTTCCTCCTTTCTTGAATCTTATCCAGTGTACCAACAGTGATCCATTCCTTGTGATTGTGCTTCTTGTGACCCAGGACCTCATGACATGTTGAAGTGATTGCCTCTTTGATCCCCTTCCAGTTGCTCTCCACAGTAGTTCCTTCTCCATTGAGTAGATCATGAAAGGCCTGGAACTTGTTGCTGAGGACTATCTTGAATTTGTTGAGTTTGTTAGTATCCTGGAGAAAGGCCGTATTGAACTTTTGTGATACTGTCTGCCCCGTTGTCCAGTGCTTCTTGAGTTTCAATTTCATCTTGGCGACCAGTAAGTGATGATCTGATGCTATATCAGCTCCTCTCTTGGTTCTCACGTCCTCTATAGTCCTCCTGAACGTTTTGTTGATGCAAATATGGTCGATTTGGTTTTGTGTAGAGTGATCCGGTGAAGTCCATGTGGTTTTGTGTATGCGTTTATGTGGGAATACGGTGCCGCCTATGACCAGCTTATTGAAGGCACATAGATTTGCAAATCTCTCACCATTTTCGTTTCTTTCTCCTAGTCCGTGTCGTCCCATGATGTCTTCATATCCAGTGTTGTCCGTTCCAACCTTGGCGTTGAAATCTCCCATCAGAATGGTCAGGTCCTTTGTTGGGCACTTCTCGACGATTGACTGCAGCCTATTGTAGAATTGATCTTTAGCGTCTTCATTATAGTCGTTGGTAGGCGCATAGCATTGGATGATGTTCATTGAAATGCCCTCTTTCTTTGTTTTGAAGGAGGCTTTGATGATCCTTGGTCCATGAGATTCCCATCCTATAAGCGCATTTTGCGCTTGTTTGGACAGCATCAATGCAACTCCTTGTGTATGTGGTGCATTTTCTTCTTCATGGCCGGAGTATAACAGGAGCTCTCCTGTAGTTAGTCGTTGTTGTCCAACTTGTGTCCAATGTGTTTCACTGATCCCAAGTACCTCTAGGTTGTATCTTCTCATTTCTGCAGCAATCTGGAAGGCTCTTCCGGTGTCCCACATTGTACGAACATTCCATGTACCTAAATAAATGGTTGCTCTGGTTGTCAGAAGGGGCATCGGCCTCGTAACTTCCGAAGGAATTCGGCTTTCATCATGAGGCGTCATAATTCTTCTAAGTGAAGACCTTCTGACTCCCAGGGCAGAGTTTAAAAGGTTTGAATAATTTTTTCTGGTTAGCGTTTTTTTAGCGAGTTAGTTTTCTACGGGATGGGGACGCTAACCCCATGCCCAACCCTCCTCCTTTATCCGGGCTTGGGATTTGAATGGACAACTATATCTCTGTACTAATATGGTATGGCAACTCGAACTGATGTACGTACGTACGAAGTTTTACGTTGTTGCTAACTGACTGACTGACTGTAAAATTTAACAGCAAATTGATGTTTATGTAGACACATTCAAAGATATCTCATTTCCTTTTCTTTTTATTAAAATTTGTCCTTCTATTGATAATATCAATGTTGTGAGTATCATCCAGATTAGAAAATACAACACTTACTCTATTACATATCCTTCTTTTTATATTCTTGAAATAACTTTTCTTAAATATTATTTATTCATCTATAAATTCTTAATTTCAATGGTTAAGATCATGAGTCAGTTGAAGCACCATGGAAAACCTGAAAGCACTGGACGGCCGTCTCGTTCCATTGTGGGACTCCTCAGCAGTGCGCATCCACGACCTCGCCCGCTGCGAGATTCGAACCCAGGATGCGCTCTGCTGAGGATTCCCATACTAAGTAAGATGAAACGGTCGTCCAGTGCTTCCAGGTTTTCCATGGTGGTCTAGTTTCAACTGACTCATGATCTTAACCATTGAAATAACTATAATATCCACAAAACCCATCTGATATAAATTCTTAGTTTATTTTCTTTTATTGTTTTGTTTAAGATGGGATGATAAAACAATGCAAATAACTGATTCTATATTAGGTGAAATGTTATCTATTATGCCAATAATACATATGAAACCAGAAATGGATTATATACCAGATTCAAATGATTATATTGCACCATTATATAAAACTGCAGCCAGAGCTGGTGTATTATCAACAACAGGTAAGTTTTTAACATTAAGGTATTTTCTCTTTTGTTTTTTGTTGTTTTTTTTTTACATTTCATTGTTACTATTTAAGGATAATTCCATTTGTATGTAGTATTTGTTACAGATTGATATCATCTAAGGTATTAATAAAAAGCAGGTAGAATTGGTAGACTGTTTGATCCAAATAGGAAACTCTTCAGAGGTGAATAAGCACAACCCATTTAGAAATGGAAATCAAGACCATCACCCCTCTCTCTCTCTCTCTATGAACTCTAGTTACTATGACCATTAACCAGGTGTCCGATATTACAATTTGGAATTCAGTTTAGTTGCTATTTAGTGCTATAATCATTCTAAGTCACTAGTGACAACTGTTTCACTGGAGATACATTTAAATTTCAACACTCTTTACTTTTCATCATAATTCATGTTGAATATCCTATTTGAATCTAAATTGAATTTGCCTCTTATATATGTATATATTACCTGTTATTAACTTATAATAACACGTATATCTGTCTCAGTTGTTATTACGGACTGTTTTTACTAAATATCTAAGTATCGTTGTGTTGTTTTCTCTGAGCTGGATAATTTTGTTAAGGCACTTGCACTGTCCTTCTGAATCACATCATTAGCCATTATTTCATAGAGAAGTGAATTCATTTTATTTTACAACTTCATTCTGATCTTGTTTGTAATTTGTTATCATCGTAGGTTTATGTTGCATTGATTTGTACTTGCCTTTATGTTGATTGTCTTCTTCGGTTGATCTTTGATTTTATGATTGAATGACATCTTCCGTAAAGGGTTGACAAACTGAACCTTTGTCAATATATTTCTTATTGATCTGAATGTTATACTTCAAGAAATTCTCTGATACTCTTATGGTTAATTCGATCTTCAATTTTTAGTCTCATTATATAATAAATGATATTGGCTACCAATAGAAATCTCAGAAGACATTTTCTTACAATTCAGAACTTACTAAATAGAGAAACTTTCATTCATTAAGACTGAAACTTATCAGCATCAACTGCTTCAAAATTCAGATAATTAAGTATTAACCGATGATAATTTAACTTCTGTAAACGAATAACGTATCATTCCTACAATTAAAGAACATCTGGAACTCAAAACAACTGTCAGCCAAAAGCGAAATCACATTTTTCAATACAAATGTCAAGACTCCTACTGTTTGGAGCTGAAACTCGGAAAACTACCATAACCATCACGAAAATAGTACAGGTATTTATAAACAATTGTCTACCCGAGATACTCCATATTCGTTGGCCAGATACCAACAGCAACAAACTACTATGGAACAGAATGAACTATCTAACACCTAAAGAGGAACTTAGAAAAAGACGCCGGAGGTGACTAGGGCATACACTGTGAAAATCATCGAACTGCAGCACAAAGGAAGCCTTAACTTGAAATACTGAAGGCAAAAAGATAAGAATACATCGCGACTGGAACTGAAAGCAGACATCAAAAGAATGAATAGCAGTTGGCAACAACTAGAAAGAAGAGCTAAGGACAAAATCATAGTCGGAGACCTATGCTCCAAGAAGAGTAACAGGAGTAAGTAATGTAATCAGACCCCAAATGCCCTAGTACGGCCGAGCGGGGAGATTCAACTCTCTATCCCTCTCGAAATGCTCCCAAGTGGCCACGTGCATATAATCACTGCCAAGGAAGTCCTACTCACTGCATTCGCGTGGCAGGGGTGTTGTTTACGAAATTGGAGACAAAAAGAAAAGGTCCGGTGCTTTAAACGGGTTGTTGGATATGGAGGATCCACGTAGGAGAGTTCGAAAACCCCCATTCCAAACCATTGGTGTACATGGGCTCCAGGATCCTAAGGAAACAAATGGCGTATGAACCAATTATTGGTCACCGGCTACCATGAAACTGCATCTCCTAACGTTGTTTCACTAACTTGTGGATTAGACCTTCAGGTCAACTTTTAAAGTTCATAAATCAGTTTCGTACAAATATTCGGTTTTATCATTTAGTAAATTTCATAGTGAAATTTACTTTAACTCAAATAATAATCCCATTATTTTGCTGAATTAAAAAAATATCATGTTTTGTTACCTATTAGTAATGACATTTTATAGTTTACATGACAATCTTTCAAAATCTGGGAGCAATAAACAGACAATTAATTTTAGAGTAAGACTTCAGAACATTGTGCATTAACAGCCACACTGAGGATTAAACCCACAGCCCTCTATGTACCGCAGCTAGCGCCTACCCTTCAGACGAGTAAACCGGTACCCAATGGTCTGTTTACATATCTCGCTGCAACCAAGCTGCGACATTCCGTGACCATCTTCCAATACTATTGGTAGGTGACAGTCTCAGATCTAGCACATTCGAACTCTATTGTTTACAGCTTCGAATGACTGAGCCTATTTCTACCAATTTCCTTACAACCATCTAAGATCAATATCATAATTAGTTTTTATATGATATCTATCCATTTATCACATGTTTATCATTATTATTTTGCTTCACTTTAAGGTATGTCAACAAATTTCATAGTCGCTGTTCCATTGAAAACAAATAAGCCTCAAGCGTATTGGATTGAGATGGGTGCAAGTTTACTATGTGAATGTGTAAATCCCTAAGTAAAACAATCTTCAATCGGACAATCAATCATAAAAACAACTTATGTTGATGTATTTAATCTGATATTCCACTTTTATTTACTTAATAACTACGTAAAACATTAATATGATTTTGTTTTATTACTTTACTTATCATCTTCAATTATAAAATATTACTTTTCAAATCCCATCTGTCCATACGATTTAAATGAACAGTCAACGACGTTATGGACTAATGTCATGTCTTTATTTGGTCACCCACATCTTCCTCCTCATTTACTGTTATGCTAGCCAGTATAAAATAGAGTAGGTTGTGGTTAACCGTAGGTGGTACATGTTCCAACTATCTTAGTCGATGAAAGTTTACAACTTCGTTAGCTAACACGTCCTCACCTAGTATACAATGCTTGATCTAAACACCAAAAATTCAGCTGTCACCATCCAGGAGCAATGTTCCGAAAATATTTGTGACAAAATAATACTAACTTAAGTACGTCTTGGAGGCTTGACTATAATCTACCATTCACGATGTTGATGGATCGTGAAGAAACTGAGTAATTGAAAATCAGTTGAACTAGCTTTAAAGCACTTTATGGATAGTGAAATAACTACACATACGTTTCAAAGATAGCATAAGCTAACACCACAGAATTGTAGTCCCGGGGAGTGAAACCTAACATTCAGAACATCAACATGTACCTTCTGGTTCGATTACAGGAGTAATATTTCGTAGGCTTATAACGTGAAAACTAGCCGCACATGCGGAATAGCAGGTTAGAATTGGTTAACAAGGGATGGCGAAGGAATGCTGCTGGAACAAACAGGTTTCTCAACCAATACAGCCCTACTGTATCGTCAGAAAAGTCAATCCCGACTATCGCGTCGAAGTACCAGCCATAGTAGGGTACACATCCTCATCTACAGTCACACTTTTATTAGTGATAAGCCGACACATAAACTAATACCTGTTGATTAAGTAGTTCGACTTCGTGAAACACTTTAAACACATACGGAAAGCGAGCTCTCGTAGTCAAATATAATTTCTGTTATTAATAATCCTTCCTCAATAAATTTACTACGTAATATTTTTCGCGTGGTTTACTATCAATCATACGAAAACTATTTTGAAACCTGATCGATCTACCTCCAGTGCTGAAATCTTGTAGTAACACTAACTTTCAGATACCAACCTATTGGTTATATCCATCAAATTCAAGCAATCACCTACGTATTGAAAAAAACATCACTGAGAAATATCTACCAAGTCAATCTTCTCCATTATTATAATTCATAAAGACCATCTAAGAGATCACTTGAGTCTTCAGGGTTGTTACACACAGAAACAATCATCCTATCACTATTCGGATAGAAAGAACTCAGCATCAAAGCAATCATCACTAGAACTAACTTTGTATTTTGATTAACATTATAGTATCTTCTTCACTACAAACACTTACAGATTGTTAATTAAAAGATATTTCTTGTTGCATTCGATGAACTACGAGTTAGTACCCACGGAGAAAAAAGATTAGGTAGGATAACACGGTTTTATTTTACCCCGTTAGGTTTTTGTCAGCTACTTAATTACGACTTGAAAATATTTCGAAAGCAGAATTTCAAATGAATTTGACCAGAAATTATTAACATGTATCAGCATGTCGTAGCAGGTTTAAATATAGTTAAGAGGACTAAATATTTATGTAGCCTGCCCCCGAATTCCCTGGTATGGCCGAGGGTGGGGAGAGTTTACTCTCCATCTCGAAATGCTCTCACATGGTCAGGCGTATATAGCCTCTGCCAGGGAAGTCCTACTCACTGCCTTCTCGTGGCATTACTGTTGTTTACGAAAATGAGAGGACGAAAAGCGAATGTCCGCCGCTCTAACCGGATACCAAATCAAATCAATGGTGCACATGGGCTACAGTATCCTGTAGGAACAAATGGCGTGTGAACCAATCGTTGGTCACCGGCTACCATGGGACTGCATCTTCTTACGATGCTCTACTACATTGTGGATCAGACCTTCAGGTCGAAGGCTCTGTGTGTGGCCCCCTAAGAAAACCACCTGCTTCGGTTTGGGTACCCGGTCAGTATCACAGCCCTCACACATTTCGAATGAGATTTGTGTGGCGCATATGTATTTGGTACCTCCTTGTACCAATATCTATGTGTTAAAATAAAATAATAAATTATGTAGCCTGTGAACTACGATTAGACTACAGTTTTTAGTTAAATTATTCCATAGAAAGCTAACTCCTTTAAAAATGCTTTGATTTTAATTACCTTCATCGTCGTCTATTCCAGTGTCAAATTCTGAGCCCAGCTTATAAAATTTCGACTGACAATTATGAATTCTTCGATAAAATTGCAAAAACAACTGGCGGGAAATATGCAGTAACTTCAATTTCCAATACAAGAGTGACCATGGTGAGGTCATATCTTGAAATAAAACAAAAAAAACACCCATATTTACAGTTCCTACTGAAACTAAACACAGGATCATCCTGCGTTTTAGGCTACATCAAGAGCTCTAGATATACTTTAATTTCATATACCTCACGAGCAGCGTGCTCGAAACATGCTAACTGAGGGCTAATAATGACGCAGGTTTGCAAATTTAGTTAAAAACACAAGGATGAAAGTAAAATCCTTCGTTGTATCAAATGGATAGGAGTGCAATCAGTTTTCCACTAAGTTTATTATTATTTATTTATTTTAACATATAGATAGTGGTACAAGGAGGTACCAAATACATATGCGCCACACAAATCTCATTCGATATGTATGAGGGCTGTGATACTGACCGGGTACCCAAACCGAAGCAGGTGGTTTTCTTAGGGGGCCACTCCACGAGCCTTCGACCTGAAGGTCTGATCCACAATGTAGTAGAGCATCGTAAGAAGATGCATTCCCATGGTAGCCGGTGACCAACGATTGGTTCACACGCCATTTGTTCCTACAGGATACTGTAGCCCATGTGCACCATTGATTTGATTTGGTATCCGGTTAGAGCGGCGGACATTCGCTTTTCGTCCTCTCATTTTCGTAAACAACAGTAATGCCACGAGAAGGCAGTGAGTAGGACTTCCCTGGCAGAGGCTATATACGCCTGACCATGTGAGAGCATTTCGAGATGGAGAGTAAACTCTCCCCACTCTCGGCCATACCAGGGCATTTGGGGGCTTTCCACTAAGTGAGATACATGGGCGATACACTGATTCATTTGAAATATAATCACGGAGCAACTATTAGTACAATCAGGACTAAACAAACCAATAAATACAGATGAACTAAACTCTAAATAGCTGAGTACACTGTTAGTTAAAGTATCTTAACTATGACCAAGATTTTTTAATACAGACTACTACTACTACTAGTGTAATAATTCTTGGTGGGCGCTATACACTATAGAAACAACTTATTTGTGAAAACACAAACCACCTCCTTGCCACCTATCAAACGAGTGAAGACAATATTTTTTGATAAACTGAACCTATCGAATGCTACGAGAAATGTATCTTTTAGGTAGAAAAATGTAGTTGAATTAGACATCATTGTTAGATTAAATAATTTGTAATTTATACCATCCAATAATAACTTTCGAAGATCTATTGAATAAATGCTGCCAGTTTATTCATGGAGTACAAAACACACACACACACTATATATATATATATAAATATTACACAAGTTAATGAGAAATATATGATGACTGATGAATTTTAGCTGAGAATGAATTCATAGAAGAAAAATATAGGAGGATAAACATCTAACAGTTTTACTTATTCTATGCAAAGAAAACTAAGTGCCAAATACAATGAGAACGAACAGTCATAACAAAGAAACTGTAACAGGAAAATATATATAAACATGAAGTAAATAGATACTCTGAAATAATAACAGAAAAGACATAAAAAAACTAGAAAGTGTCAAATTATAAAACCTTTTATTATACATATATTTAAATATTTTATGATTAAAAGAGCTGTACACATATTCTGATGGATAATGAACTTAATTCAAACCTGTACATATATATTGTATACTGGAGGGGTTTTCTTAATTATGCAAAAGCATGTACATTTAATAGTCCAGTAGTATCACAGGTACTACTATCGTTTATGACATTACTATCTTCATCTTCATAATCTATAGGACTATCTTCATCTTCATCTTCGTCATCATCATCATCATATACAACAATATTCCACTCCTCTGTTGGAACATCTTCTTTATCTACAGCAGATGGATCTTCTAATTCTATACCTGGTGGAAGTTGAGCTTGTACTACTTCCCTGTCCATTACACCTTCTTCATGCATAACAAAATCAGTATCGTAATCTTTATACCAAGCCGGAAGACGACGTGCTCTAGACATACGACGATTAGTTGTATTGCTTTCGTTTAAAACACCAACACCACCTGTACTACCTAGAATTTTTATTAGTGAATCGAATCAAAATATCAACACTTACCTGAAGTGTATTCTTCATTGCCTTGTACTTTACGACTATTGGATTTTATAAGAGTAATAGTACGTCTAGTAACGTCTAAAAAGATCATATGACAATTGAATAAATGCATAATATGCAAGAGACACTAAAATGAATATTGTAGATAAAGATTCAGTAAAGTATGCTGTCAAAATTTTTATTGCTTATAATCAGTAGGGGTTCTTATGTTACTGGATGATAAATAAAAACCTAACGGGATTTAATGTAAATTATTTACCAAGTACAAGTTTATCCACTCGGTTTTGATGTACATTATTTGAGGGTTATTCATGTTACCGGACTGAGACTAAACTAACGTAGGTTTCAAAAAAAAAAGCATTTTGGATACACAGATATTGTAAGCTGTGGAGTTAGCCTTTCAAACTTACATTTGAACAGGATTTTTATATTGTAATATTCCTGGATTGATGGATCGTAAAGGAATACCGGTAAAAGTCAGTATATAAAGCATATGGACAGACCTAGTGCAAAACCATATATCGGTTGAAGTGTTTAAATCTCATTTGAAAGAACCGATAGGATATTAACAGAAAGTAAAATTAACAATAGTGCTGATAATACAGAACTAATTTGTAAAAGTAAAATAAGCAAGTGAATGGAAGAAAAAGACACCGACTCAAGAGAAAGTATTGAAAATTTCGATCGACTTCAAGTTATATTCCTTTAGTCCCTAACTACTGTTTCGGTTGTTTGATAGGGGAGTGGTCAGAACATTTGCATCCTTCTGAACGGCCCCTGCTAATAGCTAGTGATTGATACCATGTATTCGTCTAGCCACGTTTGACGTTCTCTAATATACTTCTGTGCTAGTAAGTAAGAAGGACCAAATCATGTTATGACTGATATTTCCTATGTACCCAAGTTTAGTTTAGTTTAGCTTTAGATTACACTTAGACGCGAAGCCTATGATACTACCTAGCTTTCAAAATCGAAGTATGTAGGTAATGTTTGAGCCTGACGCCCACTAGTTGAGATTTGAGTGATTCAAAAGCCCAACTACCATTCCGGTGAAATAAGAAATTTGTAACACTTGACTAAGTCGATTAAGGCTTACAACTTCATTAACCAATTTACCACTTTTACCTTGGACTGTAAGTCTAACCGTGAGTCCCACCATTAGAAGGATAAGCTTCAAAGACAAGTGCAATTGAATACTAGATATCATATTTTGGATTCTTGAATACGTAACGGATTTCTAAGCAATATACTTGTCCTTTGAAGGATAGTTATATCACTTGTATCGCTATTAGCGAACAGATCATAGTAAACAATGTCAGACGTATTTGAACACAACATTAAGGTAACAGTTATTATGGATACACATCAATAATACAATGTATATAAAATAATTAAGGGATAAAAAAATTGATCATGTAGAAAATAGACTTACTACCATCTACACCAACATCATCATAAGTATCATCCTCATCGTCAGCCATGTCATCATCTCCCTCGCCATCACCAGTCTCTGCATCCTCATCATCTTCGTATCCATCAACAAGTCGATTTCGCTTGGACAACTTTAGCTTTTTCCGTTTTGTGTATGAGTACCGAGCAGGAGGAAGTTCAAGTCCAACATCTTCCCCATCTTCTTCCTGACGTCGGTGCTGATCATGATGTCGATCTAACAACATTATCGAATTTGTTGTGAATTCACAATGGTTATATCGACATTTCAGGCGACCAACAGCTCCCCTCGATTGACGAGCGTTTCTTTCTTCAGCGTGCATACTTCGAATGTGCATATCTAGGTCTTTCTTAATCTCGAAAGTGGATTCACAATAACGACAAACGTGGCGACGATTAACTTTCAAAGCGTGAGCCCTTGTAATATGATGATTTAGTTGATTGAAACCTGGGAATCCGCGTTCACCACATACAGGGCACGATATGATTTGACTGCCTTCGTGGGCTTTTACATGAGCTTTCAATGATGCCACATCACTGACATAGGCATTACATGGTAAACACCGAAATTTAGTTTGTAGAGTACGAACAATACGGCAGCTTCTTGTATGCTTATTCAGGTTATATATGCTATCGAAGGTAACTGCACAACCCAAACACTCTAAAGCCAACTAGTTAAATTATACTATTATGTATACTATATAGCTCACCTGTGAAGATGCCATCATAGCGAAATGTTCCCGAAGTTCATGTTCTCTTGTTCGAAGATGAGCAAGGTAAATGTCATAAGATGAAAAAGCTTTATTACACGTGTCACAACGGAATATCTTGTCCCGGTGAATATGTCGATTTCGATGAGTTTTCATATTTGCTTTCTGAGCAAAACGTTTATTGCAAACATCACAAACAAAAGGCTTTTCTCCTGTATGTGCCCGTTTATGATGTTCCATTGTCCCACCATTATTCGTCATATAGTTACACTGGTCACAATGAAATTTGAAATTGGCCGGATTTCGTTTTGGCTTTTTAGGATCAACATGACTGCGTCGAGCGTGCAGAAATAACTGACTGAGAGTTTCGAAAAACTCTTCACATTGACGACATGTGTAAACTTTAACGAAATGTTTTTCGCGCATATGTTTAGTAAAAGCGTTAGCATTAGCATACATAGCTGGACAAGATGGACAACGGTAAGTGACACCACTAGATTGCCCTGTTAAAGCAACGAAACCAGGTCCTATACCTGATGCATCATAGTATGCTTTAGAATTCGGATCCCAAAGTTGCATTTGATCTGCTGGTAACTCGATGACCTGAGCCCCTTCCATACCAGGATCTGTGAACTAAAAGGTATTATGCATTGAAAATATTGGAAGATTACCTGTAGATACTCTGTTCCATTCTCAGCAGCAATAGCTGTAACAGCACCCGAAGCAATCAGACTTTCCAATGTTGCTGTGTCATCAGCAGCAATTAGAACCATTTCTTCACCTTCATTGGACAAACCCATCTCATTTAGTTGCAATACCACTTGCCCATCTTCAGTCTGACTGAACGGTATGGCTGTGTATGTACCATCAGCATTTGCAATGTACGCTGATGGCTCATTAGGGTCAACCATCTGGTCTGACATAGTTTGTTTACAATATCCTGTTTAAAAGAGAGGAAAACTAATGAAGCACAATTATATTTTCCCATGTTTAGGAAACGTTTAACGAGCGTAACACATCTAGAACAAACTTTTTGACAACAAGCAATACAACTAGTCATGCGATAGAGAAGAGTACCAATGTTGTGTACTAACGGTTAACATGTTTACATCGTTTATCACGAAAAGTCCGTAAATAATTGAAATAGCAATGGTGTCGAAGTTGTATGAACGTCACTGAAAAATTAAATGATAAAAATCCCTCAAAAAAACGAGCTCGAAAAATCGAAATTATGAGACGATGCTAAATCTGTGATCAAGGTTTTATATTTTTAAAATATCAAAATATTTGTCATGACTTCTGATCCAGTACAAAGTGATTTTAAAACGTGACAATCTATTGACTTATTCATCAGATACATGGGTATAAGCCACACTGTAAGTGTGAAGGCTACTGAAACTAATCAATTGCCGACACAGATGGGGTAATGTTTGGACCTGGATGGCTGAAAGTCGGAAGCCTTAACCAGTGAGTCACCACTCCACACATATTGTACTTTAACGATTTCATATCTTGGAGGCTGTGGTTGTCCATTATGGTGACGTAGATGATCTACTCGATCCACCTCAACTGAAAATGGGATACAAGATGACAACTATGGTAGATGTCATTATCAAGTGTAATGACGCAGCATTTGCTGGATGTGAACAGTATCATAAGCTAAACTCAATGATTTTGTGGATTCTCCTATTTCATCAAGCCGATTGATTCAGGAGGCAATCAACTCGCTTTCGACAGGGAAGCTCTTGAAAGTGTAAGAACATTGTTGTTCACTATTTATTATTTTAACACATAGATAGTGGTACAAGGAGGTACCAAATACATATGCGCCACACAAATCTCATTCGATATGTATGAGGGCTGTGATACTGACCGGGTACCCAAACCGAAGCAGGTGGTTTTCTTAGGGGGCCACACACAGAGCCTTCGACCTGAAGGTCTGATCCACAATGTAGTAGAGCATCGTAAGAAGATGCAGTCCCATGGTAGCCGGTGACCAACGATTGGTTCATACACCATTTCTTCCCGCAGGATACTAGAGCCAATGTGCACCATTGGTTTGGAATCCGGTTAGAGCGCCGGACATTCGCTTTTCGTCCTCTCATTTTCGTAAACAACAGTAATGCCACGAGAAGGCAGTGAGTAGGACTTTCCTGGCAGAGGCGATATACGCGTGGCCATGTGAGAGCATTTCGAGAGGGAGAGCGGGCTCTCCTCACTCTCGGCCGTACCAGGGCATTTGTTGACAAAGATATTGGTGTTCCTGAAGGATCGACACTAAGTATTTTAAAGGATACTCTGATTTCTATCAAACAAGTTAAACGTTCAGCCAGAATGTAATAAATATGGGTCCCTCAATCAAACCTCACAGGATTCTAGGATGGAGACCATTGTAAAACGAAGTCGATCTAGATCCAGATGCAAGTTGTTGGTGAGAAATGTTAGGGGGTGTGGAAAAAGTTAATGGATGCTACCAGTCAATCCGATAATAACCATCCCAATATGATAAAATCTGGTGACAGGAAAGGCTGACACTAGAATTTATGGACGAACTAGTCTTCGATTTTGGCGCGAAATTCATTCATCCATATGGCCAAATAGCACTCTGACACGATAGCTGGTGTCAGTTAGTAATGAAAACCGAAGATCTAATTCCTAACAATAACATTCGACTGTAAATCCCAATCCTAATTCTTAACACTAATTTATCACCCTCATTTGGCCCTAGAAAATAGGTGGACGTTTTCAGTATCACTTAAGCATCACTCAACGATCGCCCGTACACGAATTTTACTCAGAAAAGTATGTAATATTATTGTTTGTAAAAATCCGTAGTCCAAAGACTTATTGAACAGGTATAAAACCACTTAAAAATGGGCAAGTTAAACAGGAACACTTTATCGTACAAAGCTTTGGCTGGAAGCATAAAGAACTAACTACAACGGACAATAAATCAGACTAGAATGTTGATTCCAATCCATTAATTTCAAAAAGTGAGAGGGTAAAGCCAATTACTGTCACTCGACGCTGATAAACTCAGCAAAGCTGTCAAGAGTAATACTAATCTTTTCCGAAAACAGAAAAAGAATGAAAGAAGTTCCGAGCCAGATTAGAAGCTATGTCCAATAAGGAAAATATCCCACTGAAGTTGTGATGTAGTTAGGAAACAGAACCGAATGCTATCAAATTTTGGTGGTTATGGTTAGTTCACACCCAAGCACCTGCGGTATGGGTGACCTCTTTTAGTGTAAAGGCACCACCAGTTAGCACCAAACATCAAGAAACTTTAAATAATTTTGAGAAACTTGTAAAGCACGTAAAATCGCTATATGCGCCTTAATTTTGCTTGTTGATCAATTATTTCGATAACTAACCAGCCATTTCTCGAAATCTGTCCACTGATTGGCTAAAAACTGGCCCAACTTTCTCGATGTCAGTTTAAGAGTCAATTCTGTCCCTGCACTCCGATTTACCAAATCTCGGCATACGAGGCAGTGATAGAGCATACTTCGCTACAGCATGCCTTGGAAATCACATTTTAATTGGAAACCAGGATTTTAGTTGTCGCATTTAATGTCAATCTAGATTATAAACAAACGACCTGGCACATATGTGCACCGACTCATGATGAAATTATCAAGACGAATAAAAATCGATCGTTATGTCTCATGGGTATGGGGGTTATAGTCTCACCGAGATTTTAGCACCAAACCCTCGAGATCGATGACATACCGACTCAACACTCTGTTAGTGTCTAATAACTATGATGTCCCATCATCTTGGCTGAGTTTTAGATATGGTTTAATGACAAGTTTATCTCAGCCAATTATGTGGGATGCCGACATCTGTCACTAGAGGATGTGCTGTCTGCATAAACTGACCAGCCAACATCAACTTAAACTGATGATCCGTAATGCGAAGTTAAGAGAACTCTCATGATGATCACGCTTTGCACTAGGTATAAGGTTTTTTCAGTAAGTTCATAGTGAAGTCACATTAAGATTAAATTAATATTCCAAATCAAACAAGTTCACAGCAGCATTGATACCAAGTAAAATAGCACCACTAAACATATATTAAGCCATTGGAGATGTTATTTGATACTACACAGAACTACTCGACTTTCCCAATAGACTGGATGTCAACATCAGGACCCCAAAGAAAGCCGGGTGGATAACTCATGAACAACCATAGGCTGTTATTCTGTATGCGGATGAGATTTCTAACCATGCTTTTTTATTCGACATTGTCTGAAGGAAACTATTGCAAGTGATTAGGTTGAGTCTGGAGACAATGATATAATGGTATATGTTATATAACCAGAAGAGCGGTCAGGACTTAGTGAGAAACCAGGGAGTCACCAGGTTATATTTCATGTTAATAGGTTGGAATACAAACCCCACAAGGTAAACGCTAGAGAGCAATGGTTAAAATAAAAACCATATATAATAAGTTGTCCGATTTTACGGGGATCCCCTAACATAAAATCTTATATTCCATGCTAATAAACGCCTGAATACTGAGTAGTCAGACAAGCAAATTATCTGAAGGGACGCTCCTCTTCTAACAGAGGGACAGTTAAGTAGACAAAGCCGAATAATTCAGAATGGTATGTAACGACTTAACGTTACGCATAACTTACATAGATAAGTCAAACAAAGAATCATCGTGAATGCTACGGTATATCTTCAGAAACATACAAGGCCGTGTGACGCACACTAGTATGATAATACGTCAAGCATGAATAAACCATATACCAATCGATCCTCCCACCCATCACCAAACACATTAAAATAGTAATTAAAACAACGAAAACCACCTTCAACAAACAAGCAAAATGGCGGAAGTCCAAAGTGGGTTTCCTAACAGTGTTAGTACATTCAAACAAAACCGGCTCAGATTGAAAAAGAAGCTATGGTAACAAATTTTCGCAGGATTTGGAATGTTTTGCATTTTCATGAAGCATATGCACTCTTGACAGCGATTCATTTATCGAGTAAGGAGTGAACTTCGTCTTCTCGAAAGAGAAACCGGCCAGGTCTGGAATCCAGGTTATTGCTGTGTTATGACGGGATGAAAGGTCAAAATTTGATTGATTTATTCACTATAGTTTTTATCCCGTTTAATTCAACTTCATGATCACTCAGCATAGTATTTGTTTCGTCATCCCCTATGACATTTTATTCTGTCTAACATAGGGTATTCTTGTATGAAACATTCATATACGTTATTTATTATGGTTACTAATTTAAAATGGGTGTACAAACCAGCATATAAATGAGTGTCTTTCCGACCAGACGGATCGGGATCGCTCATGCTTCTGGATACTTGCGGAATATACTTCCCCGTTCCAAACTTCGATTTCTCTCTCTAGTTAGCGGGGCCGGGACCCATCAGATTATCTAGCTTATTGGTCTTTGGTCACAGAGTCTTTGCTCTGTCCGCAGATTGGGTGAACTCGTAATCGCTTCAAACATAGCACACTGTGAGATTAAATTATGATTTAGTCGGAAAATCAGCGTGGCTCAAACGAACCGTCAAATGCAGCTTATGATGGGGTTGGACGATGCTTGTATCGAACTTCCTTAAATTGGCTACGGAAAGACAATTAGAAAGAAAACGGTTATAGTTGGATTGAGATGTGCGTTTCACCTTGCAAGGAAGTAGTAAATATCGGCGGCCATCTTCAAATGTCCGATAAAAATAAAGGTAGCATTAGTATTAGGAGCTAACATAATCATTCATCTTAGAAATCACTCCATCAAAAGAACAAGTGCATTTTTCAAGTTCTGGCATGTAGAGATATTTACTTGATTACAGAAGGTGGTCTTGTATACTGATACTCTCAGTTACTGCTGACAGTTACTACAATATTAGGTCAATTCAGTTGTCGGCTGATAGTTCACAGCAACTCCAAATCAGACTGGTTTAAAGTAAATCTCTAGAGCTGGTCACGAACAGCTTGTTAAGCAAACGAGAACGACAATGGCAATAATTATGAGACAAGATTCACTTACACACACACACTGTACAAAAGCAGCTAGTATATTACGGTCGAACTTGTTTACAACGACCCTTCACTTATACAGCTGGCGGAGCAAACCGCAGTTATTTTATATATGACCCTAAACTATGGATGGAACCAAGCAATTATAAAAGATTTTCGAACTTAAGGTGGTGCCCTTGCTCTCAAAGTTAAGGGTTGTCACGAAGATTACAGTCTTTCTGTTACCCAATAAAAGAAAATTACTAAGAGGGATGGCGTATTGACTACTAGGCTTGTTTGGCGCCTTCCAATTCTGTTGATTGTTAGGCTATACTTTCATGGCAATTGCTGTCATGTTGCAAAGTGTACAAAAATACGTCATGTAGGAAAGTATTTACTATCAAGTTTATTTTACCAGACTTTGGCCATTCATTTACCTGCCACTGTAGCGTTTGTACTGTATTCAGTTACATTTTGGTTATCTTGATAATAAATAAAAGCGGGGTTGCATCTATCTCTTGCTGTATTCGGCGACTAGGTAAGCTCAGGGTTCGGAGTCTCTGATGTTATAACAATTATACTGTCCGTTCAACTTTAGAAAATGACTTGGCAAACAGTTTAGCAACCAATTAAACTGCTTATACATCGGGTATATTCTAAGACATTGTGTAGGAAATAGGGTGGTTTGGTTATAGACAAACAAACAAAATTCATACACCGCTCACTGAAGGAAATATAGCACTCACACAAAATAAATAAATAACATCTGCAAATGCATATTGTTACGCTTCCTTTCTAATAGTAAGTTACATCACTCGATTCTTCAGGTAAGTAATAGATTGCCGCCAAGTAACTAGACAACAATAGATCGCATCTCTGACGTAGATCACCTATTGCGGATACTACTGGAAAGTAGTGTTGAAGTAGTCAATCAATTTGAGCAGGTAAAATAGAAGAGTTGTGAACTGAGATGACAGTCGCTAGAATCAGACTACATGCGAAACGAAATTTGTTGTCAAATAGAAAATAACACGGTAAAATTTATACAATTTGTGAAACAGTCGTGAGTAAATATGAGCATTAACGATGTCATGAACCAAAGATTAAATATGGTCCGCGAAAATGGGTGAATGAGAATGATAAGTCACTGTTAAAGAATAAGCAAACTTTGATGTTATGTATGGAGTAATTCAAGCAGGGATTCTTTCATTGATAAGCATAAACAAAAGTGAACGGAGAAAAATCTTACATGAGTAGTTAAATGGATGGTAATGAGTTATTAAAAGACAACGGTGTATTTCTGAATGTTCAAATATAAATTGGACATTTTGTGCCCGGTATCTGCTACGGATCACCGGCCAGTCTCTTTGATATGACTCCTTTCCTTTGACATGTAAATTATCAAGTAAGGGCTTTTTCTGCAACGAGGATTTATTCCTTCATCATAACATACCTTGTCCACCTCCAGTATCTTTTCTTAACTTCTTTCTAACATCCGGTTTGTTCTCTGACAGAGTATGTTATTACTGATGTTCCCTGGTCAATGAATCTGTGGTATGTTGCATGGGCAGTTGATCGATGTCTACGTCTTTCTGGTGATGATGTTGTTCATTGTTATGGTGCGTGATGTATGAGATTGAGGCTAATACGTAAAATACTCATATGTAAACTCCAATTGTCTACTGAGTGAAAAGGCTGAAAATGGAGGGAGTTTATTAGACCAACCGAATCACATGCATAAGCACTCATTTATATATATTTACTCCATGGAAAAGGAAAAATTTTCTTGACCAGTACATACACTTGTCGTTTGGGAGATTTTTGCTTGATACAAAGCGACATTCCACCAGGCTATTTTTGATTGATCCGTTTTATCAGTAGCTCTCCAAGTCCCAGCCCTGTACAATAGAACTGTTTTGGCGTTAGTATTGAACGTCCTGATCTTGACATTCGGTGACAGTTCCCCCGAATTACAGATATTCTAAGGTTATATGGATATTCCCCTTGCTTTACTGGCACGTGAATTGACCAGGCCCTCTACGATTATCAATGATCCTGCCTAGTTATTGTTATATCATTAGCTGGAGTTTGGTATCAGCTTAAAATACTTGTAAAATTAGGAACAGTTTAACTGTTATAATCCTATCGGTTCTGTTACGCAGTCGACAACAGGAACCAACACATATCACCCCAAAACCTACAAGCTAACACGGGAAAAGGTCAAACTGTAGGAAATGTTTATACTCGAGGTGGAACAAGCAGTAAAAAGGTGATTGGTACAACCCAGTACATCTTGTAGAGAGAACAAAATATTAAAGCATACAGAGATTTAGAAAACTAAAATCAATATGGACAATTCAGTTCGTTCAATCCCTCTGAATTTGACGACCTGCCCTTACTACATGTACTTCATGAAAGCAATTTTTCTGTAAGTTTTTGTGATACTGTTAGCATTGGGCTTTATATATTCTATGGAGTCTCTCTTAGAATTTTTACGGCAAGGAGGAAAGTGTTCAGAGCTGTTCTAGATTCTTCTAGTGCGTCTTCATTGGGTCCACCGCGTTGCCGGCACCTGTGGAGTAACAAACTTTTCCTTTTCATAGTAACTTCAAAAATAACTCTTTCTCCCCAATATAATATTACCCTCCCTCTAAATCACTTCATCCCAGGTATGTGTCTAGTACATAGACATATGAATCGGTTTTTTGTTAAGTATTTGTCCGTTGTATTTCCTTTGCTTTTGGGCTCTGTTGTTAAGCGTTCTGTTATATACAAGTAGAAACAGCTGTACGGTTGCTTCTACGGCGTCCCCCTCTTTTTATTTCAAGACAGCTGTTTTGGACGTATCCGAAAATCACCCAGCTTGTTAGTTAGGTCATGGTAAAGAGCGAATATATATGAGATTCCGAATGAGAGTCAATGAATGTTCTGGGTTTACAGTGCGATCCATTGACGGTGTCTATAGTAGCTGAGATTCCGCGTCAATTAAGTGTTTTCGTTAGTGCTTTTGTGATGTGCGCTACTTATATCCATATAAGTAGAATAAAACGATGGTCAGACAGAATTTATTTCAGTGGAAGTTCGAGAGGGAAAGAATGGGGACGGAGAGCGAACTGTATGAGAATGCATGAACAAGAAAATCTGAGACGGTAGACTGATATTTGCGAAAGGAAGAGTCAAGTTTGAGACAAGTAGTTGATGCATCAATAAACCATTGCTCAATTTTTTTCCTCATCTTTGTAGCTTCATGGAAAGATATACTAATAATCTTAACGGGTAACTGTTTGTGAAAATCAAAAGCAACTAAGTGTTTGCTCTATAAGTAACCGTTTCGTCACGAAAACTTGTAGTACCCCATCGTTGCGTTGCACATATAATTTTCTTCAATATGACAGTACATTCGTATGGATACTTGTAATGGCACTGTTCCCTAGCCACACGGTCTACGAATCCAAGCATATAATGACTGAAAAAATGTATATTAGACATGTAGCACTTAGAGGGGGTCAGTAAAGGTGGACGTGGAGACATTCATTCAATCGGATGGCATGGCTCAACCTTGCAGAAAAGACCAGTATGTGTAACTTACTACTATTCACACTAAATATATTATTCCATCCCCAGCTCAAATGTATTCTTCAGAAGTACTAAGTACCGTTGTTATTTGCCACGATACGATGAGTCTGTTTAAAGTGATGCAACTTACACGTAAGATATTACAAATCAGACAATCACATAATAAAAATTCACCGTTTTGGGATCAGGTCTGTTATCAAAGTAGTATTAGTATTGAACTAGACTATAGTTCTATGTACTAACAAAATTTATAATGCAGAAGACTGAATATAGTTGTTATATATACTT